TAGCGTTTCGGAAGTGTTAATGCAGACCAACACAGACAGCACGCAGAAGTATAAATGCACAGCTACGGGCGTTGCATGCGCCGCGGGTTACGCCGGTCACTTGACGCAGAAGTATAAACCAGGCTTTAGTGCTTTTTACAACAAGATCAAGCATGCGGACTAAATGGAAATATAGCTACTGAACACTGGTGTAATGGTTGCTGTGTAATTATTTACAGTGTAATTGTTTAATCATCAAATAAATTGCAGCTTTGCTGAATATAAAAGACTTTATTCATTAATTTTCTTGTCGGCTTAGTCCCTTTATTAATCTGGGCTCGCCACAGCATGAATGAGTCGCCAACTAATCTAACATACGTTTTACACAGTGGATGTCTTTCCAAGTGCAACCCAATACTGGGAAACATCCATACACTCATTCACACTCATACACTATGGACATCTTAGGACATGCAAGGGAAACCGGAGCACCCGGAGGAAACCCACGTGAATACGGGGAGAACATGCAAACTCCACACAGAAATGCCAACTGACCCAGCCGAGGCTCGAACCAGTGACCTTATTGCTGTGAGGCTACAGCACTACCTACTGCACTACCACATTGCAATAAAAGACTTTTATTAGATTACATTCAAGTGCATTAATAAGATACTACCGACTTTAAAGGTATCAATGAAAGTGTAAATGACATTTACAGTAAGACTACTGGTTTCCATACCTGACTCAGGACTGGCCTGGGCCTCTGCTACAGCAGATGCATCAGATGTTTCAGCCTCCCCTCTTCCTTCTCCCGGTTCTGGATCATCAGAACCACCTGATAAAAGTCCCAGACATAAAACAAAGTTGTTTTTGACATTAGGGCTGCACAATATCGTTTCAGCATTGATATTGCAATGTAATCACTCGCAATAATCAAATATATCACAAATGTACACAATGCTGAGTCTGGATTAAAATTTATCATTTCGCAAGTGTTTTTGAGGCCTGTGACTGAGGCATATGAGGGTTTTAAAAGTTTTTAGTTATAAGAAATTGTTCCATTTGTAACTTTAAAAAACTTAATAATGATATATTTCATCGAATTGTTTATAAAACGAAGACTATGAAGTATTATTTTACATGTGATTATTCAATTACTGCATGCCTGAATACATTTCAACTCCATTTAGACTGTTTATTTAAATAAAGGACTCCTACCAATTAATCTAAAATGATGAATTATTTTCAAACATTTATTAAACTGACCTAGTGTAATTGCATTCATATACATATTTATATACAATATAAATCGCAAAATTAAAAAATATTGCAATGTTAGAATTTTCCAATATCGTGCAGCCATAATCGACATCATGTAAACAGATTAGAAGTATTTCACCCAAGACTTTATGCAATCTTATGTCATTTCGATCCTTTTTGATTTTGTTTCATTGACAAAATGTGATTTTAAGAATAACTGAATCTGGCGCAAAGCAAGACACAACAGACCTGCTACAAATGAGAGGAAGATTATCAGTTTGGGAAGATTTAAATGTTGGTCTGGTCTTCATTCAAAGCTACGACATTGCTTCAAAAGTCATGTGAATAATATTGGAATATTTTATAGTGACATTTAGAAGCATGACAGTAAAAACATGGCTAATTTAATCCAAAAGAGAATATGATATTGATAATAAGAAATTATGGTCCACATGCTATTTCAAAAACACAAGGTTGGAACTAGGTTGCGAATTACAGGGGGGGTTTGGGAGGGGTCTGACCTAGGCATGGGTTGGTATAAGATTCTGGTGGTATGATAACCTTGGATAAAAATATCACGGTTCCATGATATTGTGAATATTGCTCTAAAATGTATTCTTTTGAAATGTCCCCTTTGAAAACAATATATTTTATTTTTTTAATAGTTAAACAATGGTTGGCTCTGATCTGTATCTTAAATAATATTATTAATAAAAATAATAAATAACATAAATATACATTTGACAAACCCTATAATTGTTCCTACCATTGCCAATGCATGTTTGCGCCAACACATTAATTTAGTGGTTTGAATCCAGCAAATCTAAAGCACCAACAGCCAGCGTGTTCACAAAACATGTTTCTTGTAAGATTTGTACCCCAGGTGTCCATAAAACTAGATGCATAATTTGTATTTTATTATACACTTGCTCACACATGGAAGGTAAAACAAAAATGTGCAGTCTTTCATGGTCATCCATTAATAGGTGCAAAAATGCAAACCTACACCGTGTGTTTAATATCACAAATGTCATTAAGAACCACTCAATCAATTTTCCTCAAAACAAAAACAAAAGTTTGGTTAATAAATTAGAAGTAATCTAATTAAATGTTTAACATTGGTTTACTGAAGCATATTACCGAACATAATCAGACAACTTAACCCCCACCAATAGTCAATGTATAATTCGCACCCTGGTTGGTACACCACCTAAATTTCATTTTTGGGAGAACAAATCCTTTTAATAAACAAGTAAACAAAGCAAAAACAAGTTGTTTACTTACCATTTGGGATGCTGGATTTACCACCTGTATCGCTCATTCTGTCTGACTGTCTCTTCTGACAGAAGAGACCTGAAGAAAAACAGAGACCATGTTACTTAAATCAAATCACACTTATGTATGTTCACCAGATAATCAATTACACTATATTTTACTGTCTATGAGGATACTACTAAAGCATATTAACAGACGGATTCTACTCATTGATGTCGATCAAAAAGCAAGTCTTTAAACTTGTAAGCACAACAAACACATGACTGCCATTCTGACACATTTAAAAGGTGCTGACCTCTTAGGCTGGCCGAGCTGACAGGATCCCTGACATCAGCTAATGGTGGCAAAATAAGCCTGCTTGCAAACTATGATAAATACTCTAATCATAATAGCATAACATTACCTAGTCTAATCGAGTCCACTGCAAACGTACCTTAGACAGCAGTTACCAATGTTTATGTTTGTGACAGTGCGCAGTAAACAGGCTGCGACTAGCTAATGTGCTAACTAATCTTAGCAATTGCTTTTGTGGCATTACCCTAGTCAAAAATAGAAAAGCTGCTGGCTAGTTTTGCAAGCGCACACACGGCGTTTGGCAAGCAAGCAGTGGCTCTTCAGTTTGAACAAAGAGATATATGTTGTCAAGTTTACAAAGCCGTGTAGACAGGTAAACATCGTGTAATCTGTCTTCGTGTAATCTGTCTTGCAGCCGTAACACCAGTTCGACGCGTCCACTGAGAGTCTGTTATGATTGTTGGTTCAAGCTGACAACATGTAAACACTTGTCGTAGCAAGAAAATGGAGAGCTAACTAGCGAACGGTGTTACCTCTAACGTTACTGTAGGCCCAAAGTCTCCGCACTTGTTAATCCTCTGCGCAGATTTTCCTTCCTTCACCTTTGAGTCAAGCGCAAACAAAAGCTCGACACATTAGTGAGATGTGCCCTCAACAACCTCACGCAGTGGCGATGCACAAAAAGCCCGCAGATTTAGCTCACGTTTTCGGTCGTGCCCGCAGTGTTTATGTTTTCACTGCCCTGCTTCGTTAGCACTTCTGTTTTTTTCTTTCTCTTTCTTTTTTTCTATTTCTTTTTCCGGCAAGACGCTCGCTCTCCGGAAGTGCGTCTGGATTCACAAACAAAGCAGCACGTATTATTACTGTCAACACTATGTGATGGATTATGGTCACGCTAAACATATACGCGCACGAGATTTTTTGCACTCAATATTAACTACCAATTCAGTAACAACAATAACAACATTAATAACAATAAACGTTTGTGTTGGTCTATTTTCAAAGTATTACAAAAAGTCAGTTCATATCAATAATAATAATAATAATAATAATAATAATAACAATAATAATAATTGTTATTGTAACAATAACACCAATATCAATATTAATATTAATGATAATGGTAATAATAACAATATTATTACATATATTATTTATAATATATATATATATATATATATATATATATATATATATATATATATATATATAATTTAAATAATTTTGGTTTAAAGCTGGAAGGGCATCCGCTGCGTAAAACATATGCTGGATAAGTTGGGGGTTCATTCCGCTGTGGCGACCCCAGATAAATAAAGGGACTAGGCCGAAAAGAAAATGAATGAATGAATAAATAATAATAATAATAATAATAATGATAATAATAATATTAATAATAATAATAATTATTATTATTAATATTATTATAAATTTACAATATGGAATAAATGACAAAATATTGTCAAAGTTGGAAAATAAATAATAATAATTCTCAACAAAAACTTGTTATAAGTTTTCTTTGTTTTATATATCAAGTGTTCATAATTATTATTTTATTATTACTATTTTTGTGTTAACAATGTCTTTTTATCTATTATTTTACTCATGTTATATTTTATTGTTTTAATATTTCATACAATTTGATTCATTTAAATATATTTAATATTCATTAAACAATATTTTGATACTACTAAAAAATTATTAATATTGATTATAAATAATTACGAAAAAATAAATAGTATTTCATAATTGTTGCACTAATTAATCATCATTAATAAAAAAAAAGTAATAATCGAGTGCATGTAAAATAACAATAATCTATAAAAAGAACTAATAATCATTCATTCATTTTCTTTTCGGCTTAGTCCCTTTATTAATCAGGGGTCTGCACAGCGCACTGAACCGCCAACTTATCCCTATGTTATATGCAACGGATGCCTTTTCAGCCGCAACCCATCACTGGGAAAACTGATAATCGTGTTAATCTAAACAGAATTAATTACAAATCAAACATACTTTTTTTGTTTATTATTATCATGGACAAATGAATAAACTAATAAAAATTAATTTAAACATCTACTCCTTGCAGTGAACAGTGGAGGGAGAGAGAGTGTGTGTGTGTGTGTGTGTGTGAGAGAGAGAGAGAGAGAGAGAGAGAGAGATCGGGGGCGTGTTTTTCGGGATGAGAGATGGAGATACAGACCTCTGCATAACATTATCCTCGGTTCAGTTGTTTTGACATATTTTCAAAGCACTCTGGAAAAGGACAATTCGACGGGGATTCTTCGTTGATCCAAAGTCACGTCACAAATTAACCCGCGAAGTCAAACGGCTATTTCAGCACATCTCAGAACTATGAGTGAGGTGAGTGATATTTGTTACTATATAAACCCTAACAACTTAAAAGTTCACTAGATTATTATACAATTCTAAAATGGCGTCAATGTTCAATGTAAATGTAACGTTATTCACAGGTGACCTAAATATATTGACATAGAACGTGAATCGTTATGAAAAGGATGGTTTAACATTAGAGACGTCGACGTGTCTCCAATTTATCCTCAGCATGCAGATAAAATATATAAATATATTATACTTTTTAAGCTTACTTAAGAAGGGTGACACAGTGGCTCAGTGGTTAGCACAGCAAGAAGGACGCTGGTTTGAGTCCCGGCTGGGTCAGTTGGCATTTCTGTGTTGAGTTTGGATGTTCTCCCCGTGTTCGCGTGGGTTTCCTCCTTGCTCCGGTTTCCCCCACAAGTCAAAAGACATGCGTTGAATTGAATGAGCTAAAAATATATGTTGTGTATGTGTGTGAATGAGTGTTTTACAGTAATGGGTTGCAGTTGGAAGGACATCCGCGGTGTAAAACATATGCTGGATAAGTAGTCGGTTCATTCCACTGTGTTGTTGATCCCTGATAAATAAGGGACTAAGCCGAAGCAAAACGAATGAATGAAGTTTTCTTAAGATAAACTAGAGGTAGTATTACAGATAAACCTCCTCCTTAAGATTTTACACATTGAAAGTAATATTTCCCATGGTTAATCTGAAAATGTGATGCTTTACATTCTTCTTCTTGTGTGTGTGTGTGTCCTATTAATTGGCAATTAATAAGTGGCTCAGGGGAGCTTGACCTTGCTGATGTGAGCTTGGCTAATTAGCAGATGGAGATAGTGCCGTGAGGTTTGTGTATCACTGAAGTGTGAGAGAGAGAGAGAAAATAAAGTGCTGGCTGAGGTAATGTAGCAGGGGAAAACTAATAGCCAACACACTGGGAGCCAGCTGGCTGTGGATGGGCTCTTTTCACCCCTCATCATCGTGTCTTTTAAGTGTGAAAACCAGAAGTGAGGGAACAAAATACCTCTGTAATACTCACATGACCTACTTTTTGCAAATTAAAAAGCAGAAAGTAAACAACAGAAGGGCATGGACTAAGACAAAGAACAAATGTTGACGTTTTTATGCTCACAGGGATTATGTGTTGTGGATGTGTAGGTGTGCTGAAAATGGAGAAAGGAATTTGAGGATGGTTCTGAGTTATAAGGTGAAGATGTCCCCCCCCAAAAAAAAGTAAGAAGAAAAAGAAAGGATTATTTGGGAAGGGCTGCAGAGATTTGCATTTGAAAGAGTGCCTTGCAGCAAGAAAGAGTGGATAATGTGTGCATATGCGCATGTGTGTGTGTGTAAGGCGATGCTCCATTTCGTCTCTCTTCATGACATTTTATGGGCTCCAAAAATTCAGTGCAAAGTATGTACATTATACTGGCAGCTTTGAGCTAATATCAGAGATGTAGTGACATCACAAATTAAGAAAAATAAATGAAACTGACATATCTTGAATACCGATGTCTATAGGAATAATTCAAATCTAGGCCATCATCTCAAGGCTCTATAATGAAGAAGCAAGGTCACAGATATACTGAATGCATTTTGGCCTCAAGTAGTTTGCTCATGCTGTGCATATCACTACTTTTATGGAGACACGGATAAATATAACTGATTACCTGTCCATAGAAACATTTTATAACCTTGTATTTCCAGTATCAAATGTCATCATTATAAATAATTAAAGATATATTATATAAAACATACATATTAAGCTTGCATGTTATAGGGATCCTCTCCAGGGCTGAGTGCCACTGTTCCAGATTGCACACAGAATTGAAAAAGGAGGATTAAACTGATGGGGATTAAGGGGTCTTTATCACTCAGTGTCCTAACACATGCACGATAAAGCTTTTAATGCCATGGTAGACCCAAAAAAAAAATCGCAAATGTTGTGATTTTTGTTTTACTGCATGTCTGAATGCTGATAAACCTAATAGCTGCCATCTCTTTCTTTCAGAACAGTTCTTCTGATCCTCCCAACAGCACTCAGGGGCCCATCACTGACGATAAAGGTGCATTTTTATGAGTTTCATTACGCTATATTTATACTTTTTGAAAACTATTCCACATTTTTTCACTAAACCTGTCCAGGTACATAAAGCCACAATTGTATTTGCATAACTGCCTACAACACAAAGGTCAACCATTTCAATCTGATTTCTACACTGTAAAACCCATTAAGTTAAGGCAACTCAAACCGTTTGAGGAAACTGATTGTTACAAACCATTTGGGTTAAAACACGATCTATATGAATACTGTAAACTTACTCAATTTAAGTTGAAGTAATGAGGTATTTAATTAACTCATTACCTTCCACACGAGTTCTAAACTCTTTAGTAGATAGTAGAAAATTAGTAGAATTAACATTCAGTCAATTTTGAGTTAACTACACTCTGTTCATTTGATTTGACTGTAGGGTTTTACATTGTACAAACCCTTTTGAGGGCTGTAAACAAAAACAATGGTTCCAGCATATTTCCTGTTTTATATTTTGAATTTCTATAGCTTATAAGAATCCACAAAGAGCCACATATTGATAAATAACGCTATGAAATTGGTTTTAACTAAGTTATTGATTGAATTGTCTCTTGTTATAGTTTGATAAGCAGGAAATGTTCATGAGCCAATAACATCCCTACATTGAAATGGTCTATATTTTTTATATGTCCTATTCCCTCAACAACAAAAGCACACATGCATACTCAAGCATTCATTACTGCATATCAAGTGGAGGCTGGTCCATAAGGTCTATTCAGTTGACAACCCTCATCCTGTCATGCCAAATTTTCATTCATATTTCAAACAAGAATGAAATAATGAAATTATTATAATGAAATCTGAGAAATTTCTGTCCACCTATTTAAAGTCAGTTCGCCCGAAACCTCTGATGCATCAAAACGCAAGAGATCAAAATAAACCTACATGAATTAAGATGTTTAATCAAAGTCTTCTGATTAGATATAATCACTTTATACAATACACAGACTTAATTTAGCCATTTATACCACTTAAAAGCACTTTTATAAACTACACAAACAGAAGCTCAACCACAACTGCTTGACTTGCAAGAACAAACCTTAGTTGTTCTTAGGGAAGCTGAAAAGTACAATTCAATTCATCTTTATTTCTATAGGGCTTTTATAATGTAGATTGTGTCAAAGCAGCTTAACATAGAAGTTCTAGTAAATTGAAACTGCGTCCGTCCAGTTTTCAGAGTTGAAGTTTAATTCAGTTCAGTGTGGTTTAAATTTCACTGCTGGAAGTCCAAACACTAAAGAGCAAATCCATCGATGCGCAGCTCCACAAGTCCCAAACCAAGCAAGCGAGTGGCGACAGTGGCGAGGAACAGATTTCACCAATTGACGAAAATAAAGGAAAAAAAACTCAAGAGAAAGCTAGGCTCTGTTGGGCACGGTCATATCTCCTCTGGCCAAACTTCTTGTGCAGAGCTGCAGTCTAGGCGCCGGAGGCTGAAGAACGCTGGACGTCCAAGATGAAGAACTTCAGGTGTGAGTAGGTCACCGGCAGGCGTTCAGGCTGGCCCAAGAGATCAATGCAGAGACTCGCCTGTCACAGGGGTCTTTCAGGAATTAGTCTCACGCTCTCTTCTCCTCCATGACCACCACAGCATCAGCTCAGGATACAGCCCGGTCCAGGATTATGGATACCTTGGCATCATTTCTTCACAGATCTTGGATCGCATCAATGGCGCTGCATAATCTCTAGGGGCCTCGGGAATAGTATCCCCAGATGGATGTAGAGAATAAGGAAAATAATTAGCATAGCTGCTGTTCCATGTGCTATGTGACATGCAAGAATGGACTACATCATTGGTTCTCATGTGTCAAGATTACTTGATCTTTAAAATGAGGTAAATTAGGTGTAAATATTATTATTACTTTTTGAAATATTTTAAAGTGCCAAATGTTTTGGCTGACTAGACTTTTGAAAGGGTGACAGAAATATCGCAGAGTTGATTAAAAAAGTCTTCATCTGTGTGAAGATGAACGCATTTTTGTTAAATTATTTTTTTTTTTTAAAACATGAGGGTAAATAAATTCTGTAGGTCAAATCATGGTCACAGGACTGAATCCCAGAGAAAGCAAATCATAAAATGTGTATACTGAAAGCAATGTCAGTCAATTTGGACGAAAACTTCTACCAGATACTTAAATGTAATGTTTCTGTGTACTATGCTGAGATATGAGAAAATTATTTTAACATGAAAACAGACTCTATCTATTTTAATCATGCAAAATAAAAATAAAATGTATATGGATCAATTTAAAATGATTTAAAATATTGCATTTGCTTTTACTATACTATTAATGTTGTCAACATTTGCATGTGATGTGTTTCTCAGCCGCCCAGGAGAAACTGGAGAGCAAAGGTGCGAATCCCCCAACGCAAGAACCAGAAGAAGAGATCGACATTGATCTGGAGGCGCCAGAGACAGAGAAAGCTGCTTTGGCAATACAGAATCAGTTCAGACGCTTCCAGAAGAAAAAGAAGTAGAAGAGGGAAGCATGAGCGAGAAGAATCAGCGCGGAGGACAAAAACACCTTCCGCGGCATTCAAAATGGAAAGAGAGTTAATGAGGAAGCGACAGAGGACAAGGAAAAGTCAAGTGTGGGTGGGAAATTAGGGGGTTGGAAAGCAAATGATAGCCCTGTGGCATCAACATGCTGGGGTGATTAGAGTTTAGGACATAAGAATAGGGAAGGATTTTCACTTTAAAAGACATGGCAGATTCTGTATTTGTTGAGATTTTCTCCATCCTTTCGTTCCTCTCCTGTAGACATAAATACAGCTAGTTACTGTGCAAAACATGTCTGACATATTTAATATATCATTGATGCAACACAATAAATGTAAGAAATATAAACCTCACAAATCAAAAGACAGTGCTGTCATGAAACATCATTATAGATATGCTTAGTTGATCATTTATTGTAAGAGTTGCTCTTAATTTTTTTAAGCAAGTGTTTGAAAATCTCTTTAAGTCAACAGCAGAATAAATAAGGAATATTTAATAATCTATATATTAATAATACCCTGATGATACTATAGCAATTACCAACATTTTGCATATAATATTATAAAATAATAAAAATATAATAATAATACAATAAAATTGTAGAGTATGGATTCAATCTAGAGCCACATATACTTGCAAAATAAAAGAAAGTTTTGCAAACAAAAAATAAAGTTCTCCACAATAAATAAATGCAAATCTCCAAAAAATACAAAGTAAAAATTAATTTTGAGAAACAAAAATAGTTTTTGCTAACAAAAATAAAGAACGGCAAAAGGGAAAATTAGGTTAAATTTGTTAACAAAAAAAGAACTGATTTCGCAATAAAATATTTGCAAAACGTTTTTATTGCATTGCCTTTACAAAACCCGTCCAGTCAGTTGTAATGCTCATTTTGATTAGCTTTTCATTCAACCATGAGTTTGTGATGCTGTTTTCACTATGCACTTTACAGTTCAACGCATTTCACTTTGTGGTCCTGATTTGACAAGGGGGGCGGGGTCAAAACTTGGGTGTTTACAGCAGGCCCGGACCTGCCTCCATTTAAGCGACGTCATCATTTGCTTGCCAACTGCCATAACATTTTGACAAATAAATTTAAACTACCAATTAGACATACCTGAACTTCCCTTGCATGCCTCTGCTTAGCTTTGCTTCTGCTTCTTCTTCCTTCAAAGTTTTATGGCGGTTGGCAAGCAAATGATGACGTCGCTTAAATGCAGGCAGGACCGGGCCCACCATAAATGGCCAAGTACCCCTTGTACCCAAGTACCATAGTTTTTTAATTGCAAAAATACACACACACACACACATACATATATACATATATATATATATATATATATATATATATATATATATATATATATATTTATTTATTTTTTTATTATTTTTTTTTTTTGCATTGCTTGATTATTTTTTGCTATTTTTTTGTTAGCAAAATTTTTTTTTTCCCAATTTATTTTCGCTTTGCGATTTTTGAACTTTTTCATTATTTTCTTTTTTTGCTCAATACTTTTAGTTTTTTTGTTTACAAAACTTTTATTTTGCAAGTATAAATGGCCCTAGAATGACTCCATAGTAAAGGGATTTATTCAAAAAAAGTTTATAAAAGCTTGTTATTTTAAAATTTTGTTTTAGCAAATTTGGCAAATGGCCATGTTGTGCTCAGTTTACTGTATAATAATGACTTGATGAATTTAGCACAAGGTAGATAGTATTTTTGTGTCTTGTCATACTGGTATAAATGCCTTTGATTTTTCCTTTAATGACAGATGTTGCAGCATGCAGAAAGATCCTAGATTTTTTTTTCCAGTGTCAAATCAAACAAAGATGATCATCAAGGAAAGTGTAACATTTTGATCTATTTTAAGCGTCTTTCTCTTTCTCCGTCCCCTATAATTAAAAGCGGTCTCCACAGATATCTCAGAATAGCTGGTAATAATGAGAGCACTCTATAGACACTCATGACGATCTCACAGTTAATGGGACAAATGATGTCTGTAATTGCATTGAGACGAGTGTGATGAAAATGTCATCTCTGCTTGATCTTTTTCAAATAGTCACTGCGGGAACGCGATCATTGAATTTGCCTGTTATTATTATTCTGTACATTTGATTTAAAGTATGACACATGTTACTGATGGGCGGACAGTTATCTTGTCCTGCACTTGATGTGTGTTCGAGTACTCCAACCCACACTGGTTTCTTTTTTCTCTGTGTGACTCAGCCTAAAATATATGCTTGAACAGAAAGAATTGTATGTCCTGAGCTGAATTGTATGTCCTAGGGGCAGCGAGTAGATGTTACATAATGTAAAGAGCATTATATAAGAGTTTTTTCTATAAAACTCTAAAGCATAACACAACTTTAATAATTCTTAAATGCAGGTTCCAGCAGTATTTTTTAAAATCCTAGTTTCTAAAATATTAGAAGGTGTAAAATGCAGCGTGTTGTTATTATCGAATGAAATGTAAAGCTTTTCCTCGCTTTATATCTAACATTTTACTGTTTGTCCTCTATAGTAAGTATATTCAGTGTTTTCTATATTATTATATACAAATTTACTCATTTTTGGGGCTGATACATGTGGGACCATGCAAGTGCTTAGCTGGCACATGTTATCATGTAATTTAAGGTCTTTATGACAGAGAAGATGTTATGATACATGGTGGTCTTTTAAATAAATAAACTATAAAATATTAATTATTATTATACTAAATATATTAACATATTTAGTAGGGGGTCCTGCAGAGCTTAGCTCCAACCATATACAGTTGAAGTCAGATTTATTAGCCCCCCTAAATCATTAGACCACTTGTTTGTTTTTTCCCCAATTTATGTTTAACTGATAGCAGATTTTTTTCAGCCCATTTCTAAACATAATAGTTTTAATAACTCATCTCTAATAACCGATTTACTTTATCTTTGCCATGATGACAGTAAATAATATTTTACTAGATATTTTACAAGACACTTCTATACAGCTTAAAGTGACATTTAAAGGCTTAAATAGGTTAACTAGGCAGGTTAGGGTAATTAGGCAAGTAATTGTATAATGATGGTTTGTTCTGTAGACTATCGAGAAAAAATATAGCTTAAAGGGGCTAATATTTTTGTTCTTAAAATGGTGTTTTAAAAATGTAAAAACTGATTTTATTCTAGCCAAAATAAAACAAATAAGACTTTTTCCAGAAGAAAAAAATATCATCAGACATACTGTGAAAATTTCCTTGCTCTGTTAAACATCGTTTGCAAAATATTTAATAGAGAGTAGAAAAAAATTTGAGGGGGGCTAATAATTCTGACTTTAACTGTACATAAACACCTGAACAAGCTGATTAAGATCTTACTAAGTAAACTTGAAACTTCCAGGCAGGTGTGTTGAGGAGAAGTGGAGCTAAACTCTGCAGGACACTTGACCCTCTGCTCTAGGGGTAGATCAATACAATTGGTTGGGTTTAGGTCAATCGGTCAAAACAATCATTCGTCAGCGGCCTCTGGTGGATTTACAATAGAACAACAGGTGCATATGGCATTCGCGAGAGAAATTTAAGATCTCAAATGCATACACAGCGGCCTCTGGTGGATTTACATTAGAACAGCAGACGCCAATGGCACTCGCGAGAGAAATTTAAGATCCCAAATGCATACACAGCGGCCTCTGGTGGATTTACATTAGAACAGCAGGCGCCAATGGCACTCGCGAGAGAAATTTAAGATCTCAAATGCATACACAGCGACCTCTGGTGGATTTACATTAGAACAGCAGGCGCCAATGGCACTCGCGAGAGAAATTTAAGATCTCAAATGCATACACAGCAGCCTCTGGTGGATTCGCGAAAACAGAAACTGCAAAAAACATAGCTCCTATAGGATGTATTTGGCACTCTCCAGAATTGTATACAGAGATACTTTTTTAGAATGAGCCTGGGTTGTGGTTTTCAGTGGTTACCGATTTTCAGCTTTTGTGTTTAACAGAAGAAAGAAAAGGTTTGGAACCACTTGGGTGAGTAAGAAAAATGTAATTTTTTTTTTGTCTGAACTGTCCCTTTAAGAGACTCTTTAATTGTGTTTGGGAGCTTGGCTATATGTTTGGGCACTATAGAATACTGAAGCCAAACTGTCCCAAGTACTGTATGTCTGCTGTAATCTTTTAGATGATGATGCCAATGACATCATGAGCTGGAGCTCTGGAATCAAAGTCCTGACCAAACTCTCGCAAGCATGTATTCATGACACAACATTGCATTTTTTTATCATCACATGACTAACTAAATGCAAACTTATTAGCAACACTTAAACATACATTTGTGTAATAAGAGCTAAAATGGTGGAAACCAACATGTAATTAGACCCCCTCCCCCTAGTGAAGCCAAAATTTATAACGTGTACTGCAACCAGCCACCAGGGGGCGATTTAAATGTTTGATTTCACTTCTTAAGTAAGGTGTGGGGCATATTTATAAAGCCTTGATTAACATCCTTTTTGCATATAAGGTATCAGAGTCATTGCTTGAACAAACAGTATGTGGCCTGTTTACAAAAAGGGTCAAGTATTTCCTGTAAGCCATTGACTTTTTCCATCACTACTGGCTTTCCCCTCTAAATGCTGAAATGACAGTATGTGACACCTGATTGGCTGTTGGTTGCTTACAATTTAACACTACATATGTTTGTTTAGCAATGCAGTTTTATGTTAATTCTGCACAAATTGACGGCAGAGCAAGTTTCAATTCAGGTAAAAATATGAAGGTAAAAAATCCCTCTTCTCAATTACAAGTTTATGGCAATCCTTCAGCCATTATTAAAAGCGCTGCATGCTTAAAAGTACAGAAACCTGGGTTAGGCAAAGTATAAAGATCATTCTTAATCTTGAGCCTTAAATATTATAAATGCCATCTATCTTTGGTCTATTTTTTTAACCCAGAAGTCTTCAAATCTTCTTGAAGTCATCTTGACATCAGACATCTTGTTTATCTGTTCTAAATCTTTCCTAATAAACTTTTCTCATTATTATTATTCTTCATTCACACTCTTCTTCCCACTTTCAAATCTTTTATTTGCCAACCATCCTGCTGTTGTCATTTCTTTAGTGATACGTTGCATCATTCATTTTCACTCCTCATTATTGTTTTTTTTGTTGTCTTTTCTTCAGTCTCTGCCTTCTTGCTTTTGTTCATTTGATCCTGCAGACCCTTCTGGTCAAGTTTCTCCTCAATCTGGTCAAGTTCCTGCTCAAGCAGAGCCAGTTTGATGGGATCTGACACACACGGGTCTTCATCCTCCTCATCTTCCTCATATTCTTCCACTTCAATTCCATCCATGGTCTTCTGAAGCTGCGTCTTCACTTTGTTTAATTCCAGTAGGCCATGTTGAAGCTCTTTGCAAACTTCTCGGATCTTGGAGGCAAACTTGGTCTTGGCACCTTTGCGGAGTTCATTTGAGTCTTTGGCGAGAAAAAAGACATCCAGAGCAAGGAAAAGAGTGGACATGACCCCTGTGGTGATACTGATGGCCTTGGCGGCTTTGGCAGCACCTCCAGCAACACCCAAAACTTTCACAGTGCTAACAAGTCTATCAGTGTTTATCAGGAGGGCTTTTCCAGCTCGCCCACCTTCCTTCATCACATACTTTATATTACGGTTGAGACTTGTGTTGACCACACTGTCAGAGTAGTCCTTAAAATCCCATTCCTGCAGGGTATTCATTCCTTCCTACATATACAAAATTACAAGTCAGACACCAAGGATGACAAATAAATATTACAACTATTACCATTGCGGAAAATCGCATTTATTTTAGTTTGACTGGAATGAAAGAAGTTTAAAACAATTTTAAGGTCAATATTATTAGCCCCCTTAAGATTTTTTTTTAATTGTTATTGTGGATCATTTAAAAAAAATAATGTACAGTAACTTATACTGCATATTAGGAATTTGCAGTATCTTCTGTAATCAAAGTAGTCAAGTACTGTAGCTTAAGACAAAAATGCAACATAGGCTCATTCTGAAAATGTAGCCCTACATACAGTTCTGGAGAGCAAATTATGTAGCCAGAAGTACGTATGGCTAAATTCTCGTGCTAGCAGCTGACCGTTTACCTCCGTAGGGATGGCTTTACCGCTGTTACCAGATTGTCCAGTGGCTTGCAGCGTTGCGAAGAGGAGATGTAAAGAGGATTTGATCGTGACGACAAGGTTCGAGTCCGGCAAAGAATGGTTCCAGAAAGCAGGTAAACCAAACAAAAGCCAAAAAATAAAAAATAAAATAAACAGCTAAATAACACGGTAAGAATGTGGTAAAATTTAAAAATGTGGTAAAAGTCAGGCGAGGGCTTTTCTTTTTCTGGATTCCTTTTGAAAACACTTTCGGTTGGGTTTAGGGAAGTGGGTGGGTAAGGGTATTTGATCGGTTAATCAGTCAATTACTCGACAGCGGCCTTTGGTGGATTTACGTGAGAACAGCAGGCGCGAATGGCACTCGTGATGGAAATTTGAGATGTCTAAAAGCATACATAGAGGACTGGTGGACTCGCGAAAACAAAACTGAAAAAAAAAAACTTAGCTCCTGGGACATATTTGGCGCTCTCCAGAAATGTATATAGCAGTACGTTTTCAGAATGGAACTAATGGGTTCAAAAAAATGGTCACTTGTTTGGAATTTATTAAATTCGATAGTAAATACAAAAAATAAAGGTTTTGTACAGCTAGTGTAAAATGCAAATAAATTACAGTAAAGTACTGTAAGAATGGTCATACTCTAAAACTACCGTATTTTTCCATAAAAGTACATTTTTACCAGAAGCGGTAAGGCTATTTTTCTGTTAAACGAAATTACGGTAGAGCCCTGCTACTGTAAAACACATTTACAGGTAAGTTACTGTACAAGAGTAGCTGTGATAAATTCTGGCAACAGTGCTGCCACTACATTACTGTAAAAATACAATAAAATGTCTAACAGTGTAGTTAACCTAATAACCTAGTTAAGTCTTTAAATTGCACTTTAGGCTGAATACTAATATCTTGTAAAATAAGTAAAAAAAATATTATGTCCAGTCACAGGATTTCTGCTGGTTTCACCAAGTTAAATTTAAAAACATTTTTAAGACCATAACGAATGCACATTTATACCCATACAGGGCTAAACGCTAAGAAGTTTCACAAATGTCACAGTTGGAAATGATTTTGATTTGCCCCATCAAAAAATCTTATAGTTTAATACATTTAATGATACAAAAATATTAATAATTTAATAATAAAAACATTTAAGTAATATTAGTTATTTCTTAGCAACACATTTAAAATGTGTCAAAACAAGCAAGCTCTAGTCATTTTATACATACTCTTTTTTACAACATAACCTTTATTTTTATTTTAAAGGACAAATGTTTTAAAACTATAATAAACTAAATGTATGTCCAGGTCAGTGTCCTCAGCAGTAAATAGATGGGGAACTTTTAAACAAATGTTGTTGTAAGTAAATAATTAAACCATTAAATAGAGGTACTCTTACACTTTTTAATAAAAAGTTAAAAGTTTTATTGAGATGAATTGTTGGTGATTGGATGGGTGTTAATATCCAGATTGGGCAGCTTTACACAAACAAAGGGAAAAAAATAAGAACCTAGAAGACATTATTTCAGTCAGTTTAAGACTTTAAGGCATAACATTTTGTTTTTAAGATTTAAGACCCCGCAGAGACCCTGTGTCATCATGGCAAAGACAAAATAAATGAGTGATTAGAAATTAGTTATTTATTAGTAACTATTGTGTTTAAGCTATTACGACTAAAATTAGTTAACTTATTTTTAATAATCTCCTTGTTAAGCAAACACTTGGGAAACATTTTTTAAAAATAATCGAAAATAATTTTGACTTTTAATGTATTTAGCTAAACCAACTTGACATTTATATACAGTTGAAGTCAGAATTATTAGCCCCCCTTTTTATTTATTTTTAAATATTTTCTAAATGATGTTTAACAGAGCAAGGAAATTTACACAGTATGTCTGATGATATTTTTTCTTCTGGATAAAGTCTTATTTGTTTTATTTATACTGTTATTAACTTATATTGATTTATTAATTTGTTTTTATCAATTTTTTAAAAACCATTTTAATGTCAAATTATTAGCCCCTTTAAGCTATATATTTACTTGCATTTTCGATAGTCTACAGAACAAACCATCGTTATACAATAACTTGCCTAACTACCCTAACCTGCCTAGTTAACCCTTTAAATGTCTCTTTAAGCTGTATAGAAGTGTCTTGAAAAATATCTATTAAAATATCATTTACTGTCGTCATGGCAAAGATAAAATAAATCAGTTAGTTAAATTAGTTATTAAAACTATTATGTTTAGAAATGTTTTTTAAAAATCAGCTAATAATTCTGACTTCAACTGAATTTCACTGCTCTCTGGTGACCTGAAGTGCTTCAATTATCTTTATTTGTTCGTTGATTTGAATAAAAGCATCTACTAAACATAAATATAGTGTGCTGAACATACTTGCATGAATTCCAGACAATCCCTAATGTCAGTGATCTCACTCTGGTAGCCCTGGATCATCTTCTCCACTTTCTTGCGGTCTATCTTGGATTGAACAGCGTCGGTGATGTTCGCTGTGGCTGAAGTGATGCTGCCAGCTGTGGCCACACTGATGCCCACTGCAGTGACAATAGTGGATGTGCCAAAGGTGAAGGGTGCAAGGATGAGGCCAGTAATGGTGGCTATGCCTCCAGCGACGCTAGCTACACCCCCTCCGATAGCGGCGCTCACCGTCTTCTTATGGAAACTGTCTGCAGCATCAGCCAGAGCAAGCAACTCCATAATGCGACATTGCAAAGATGCTCCACGCTGGTTGAATAGACTGACAAAGAGACGGGCGGCCATGAACACACGGTCAGCAGCAGCCTCTACAGCCCTGGTAGACAGAATAACAAATGTAAGTAGCCATTGAAGGTAAAAACGGTATAAAAAGTCTGCATTTACTCACAGCTCCTCGTCATCCTCCTGAAAATTTGATGTTTGGTTCCATTCACTCCAACCTGTCAATAATCAGTATGTCATATGAAACTGCAAACAGTAGCTGAGTTTCCATTACTCTGTGTTAATGCGAATGTTTGAAGCATCATATGAGAAACATGTAATGATAATGCCAAATACATCCCTTAATTCACAAAAATGTTTCTACGCTTGCTTGAGCAGGTTTTGGACAATGCCATTATTGGAAGGTGAAAATTTTCTGAAGGAAATCTGACGGAGTGAATATTACACCCACATGTCTCCATCTTGCTTGTATTGTGCTTACTGTTGATTACTAGGTTACTAATACTACAGTCAGCTGCTCTAACAGGGGGATGCCCAAACATTTTTTTAAGAAGGGCCAAAAAAAAAAAAAAAAAAACTTGATTGAGGACAGTGGGCTGAAGGTAAATATAAAAAGCTGTATTGCAAAGTTTTATAAATAATTCCCTCGTTTCTTTAAAAATAATTAGAAAACATTACTTTAAGCATAGTAACTAATCCATTACATATTTCTTACCTTCTATAATGAACCTACACTCACTGGCCACTTTATTAGGTACACCTTACTAGTGCCCGGTTGGACCCACTTTTGCCTTCAGAACTGTCTTGATCCTTTGTGTCATAGATTCAACAATGCACTGAAAATATTCCTTAGAGATTTTGGTTCATACTGATATGATAGCATCACGCAGTTGCTGCAGATTTGTCGGCTGCACATCTATGATGTGAATCTCCCGTTCCACCACATCCCAAAGGTGCTCTATTGGATGGAGATCTGGTGACTGTGGAATACATTTGAGTACAGTGAACTCATTGTATGTTCAAGAAACCAGTCTGAGATGACTCGTGTTTTATGACATTGTGAATTATCCTGCTAGAAGTAGCCATCAGAAGAAGGGTACGCTGTGGTCATAAAGGGATGGACATGCTCAGCAACAATACTCAGCTAGGCTGTGGCGTTGACATAATACTCAATTGGAACTAATGGGCCCAAAGTGTGCCAAGAAAATATCCCCCACACCATTACACCACCAACAACAGCCTGAACTATTGACACAAGGCAGAATGGATCCATGCTTTCATGTTGTTGATGCCAAATTCTGACCCTGCCTTCCAAATGTCACAGCGGAAATCAAGACTCATCAGACCAGGCACGTTTTTCCAATCTTCTATTGTTCCTATTTTGGTAAGCCTGTGTAAATTGTAGCCTTAGTTTCCTGTTCTTAGCTGACAAGAGTGGGTTAAAAGTGACAAAAGTCACTTAAATCACCCTTCTTCCCCATTCTGATGCTCAGTTTGATGTGCAGAAGATCGTCTTGACCATGTCTCCATGCCTATGCAATGCACTGAGTTGCTTGCATGTGATTAGCTGATTAGAAATGTGTTAACAAGCAGTTGGACAGGTGTACCTAATAAAGTGGCCGGTGAATGTAATATAATGAAAACATATCAATTCAATTTATAACACAATGGAGTTTGAAGCCACATACACTAGTCAAGCTGCACCTGCCTTTACTTTGATTTGCTCACTGAGGACTTGTGCTTTATCCACTGAGCAATAGTATTTTCATAAAAAATGGATTCAATTTAATTGAAAGTTGAGTTTGTTGTTTTTTTTTTAGCTTAAAAATAAAACTAACAAATGAAAGGTTACCTTAGGTAACCATTAACTCTAACCCACCTCAAAATTCCCCCTCTTCTCAGATGGGATGGCAGGCCAAATCAAAGGGTACAATGGGCCAACCTTGACCCTAGTTGGGGCATCTCTGCTCTAACAACTTGATGGAAATGCACCTAAGTTGCAATTTGGAATTTTTCTTTTTTGCAACTTTGAAAAGATTTACTTCACTTTAAAATGGAAATGAATAAAATAAATATTAAATAAATGTAATTAACAATGATCAGTTACAAAGGTTAACCAATCATCCAAATTACTCATTTTTGTTGAGCAGTGACTAAGGGGTTAAAAAATAAGAGTTGTGGAGGAAAAGTTCATTTTTACCTAACTTGAATGCTCATAAAAGTTTGTGTTTTGTCTAAAGATGAGGGCACAAGCATGAGATATTTGACATATTTTTGTTAATTTCTTTGCCTTGTGTGGAAAAGTACAGCAGGTCCGTAATGTAACCTTGAAGAACTGATATAAGTGGGAGAAAGCCCTCCCTTTCTTGTGACCAATGTTTCTGTTTGACTGTCTGAGCCTTTTCCAAGAGAATAAAATCGTCTTTAAAAATAATTGAACATTTTTGTCTCTTATTAAGTGTTGTAATTTTAAAATTGCCATGACAGAGTGCAGTTCTATAAAGGTGCAGATGGTGTGGAATGATTTGTGGGTGATCTACTGAGAATTTTAAGAACAAAAACACAATGAAAATAATTTCCATAATGACGACACCAAATCTACCACGATGTGGGCTTCTAAAAATGCAAACACAAATTAGGTTAATGCATGCTTTTTTGACATTAAAAGTAGTAGATGGACTACTGTAAATATTTAATAAATCACCATGCATTATAAATATTTAATCTGTTAATGTATTATTTAGTTACTGCATTCTTAGGCAAGTGCATCAGCATTTGCCTTAATGGCAAGAAACTAAAAGCACAAAAAAAAAACAAATCTGCTAAGTTTAAAGTGGTTGAACTTTAAATAATAAAACTTGCTTATAGTATTACATTTTGCTTTAACAGCTGTTTAAGAGCATGTAAATACCCTCTAGTCTAGCGTGAATTGGGTGAATCTAAAACTGTCCAAATTATACAAGAACATAACTAAGTAGTTTTGCACGTAACTAGTTTTACATAATGCCTAATATGTAATCAAGTAATTTGGACCAACAGACCCTCAACAGTTTTCCACCAGTCCATCAGACCATTATCCTGTGAACAAAGATAAACAGAAAGATAAGTTTTAAAAAATCTAATAAACAATTACTATAACTAATTATTATTTAATTTATATTACAAGAATTATTGCATATTTTAATATACCTCATCTGTCTCTGAGGAATTTAAATCTGTTGGATAGGCAGCCATCTCCACTGGCAGGATTTCAAAAGTACAGTCCTATAATAACAATAGTATATATTTGTGACAGCAGACCAATAAACTCACACTGTAAAAAATGCAGGGTTCTACACATTTCATTCATGTTGGAAATGTCCAATAGCTAATCAGCAATTTAAAAAGTAATCACAGTTCATACACGCTCGATAGTGTAGGCGTGGATTTTAGCTGCCACACTATGGCGAGTGGATAGTGCCACGGATAACCGAACGAAGGAGACAGTCGTGTACTCGCCATACCACACACACACAAAAACACACACACACCTCCGGATGACAACTTTCCCGCTTCCGCCCGCACCCGCCAGGTTTTAGCCTGAGAACCCGCTCCGTTTTCTGCCCGCCGCGCCCGGTCCCGCTAGAGCGGAGAACACAACCAAATATCACCCAGTATACAGTCCAGACAGCCAAGCTGTCTGTATAAACACACACACACAGCACAAAGTACACAAAGCTCGTTCGTTCGTTCGCTCTCTCTCGCTCTCTCTCTCTCTCTCTCTCCCCGCGCCAGATTTCTGCGGCGCGGGAATACATTTCCGAATAAATCGCGGGAGCAGAACTCTAGCACGGAGCTCCATAAACAAACAGCACGCGTCGCGTTTTTAACGTGACTTTGCACGCGATAAGATAATATATCCAGTTAACCTGATACAGTACACGCGGTTACAAGTAACAAATCACAACTAAATACATTTGCAAGCTAGAGTAAACGAGGCAACAACTTTAACCGCACGTACTTACACTTGAGAAATGGAAGAAACCCATCCTGACGTCCATCAGTTACTCTTTACTGATCCTTCCTTTAACAAACTCAGATGAAGTATTCTTTGTAGCATGTAGCTTCCAGAAGTTTCCAACTGCTTGGTTATAATGCTGATGTTTCATCTTTGGGTAGAGACTCAATATATCCATCTGCAGTGTGACTTCAATCGACCGGCATGTTTGTGTGCGTGTGTTTGTGGGTGTGTTTGTGGGTGTGTGTGTGTGTCTGGGTTTCTGCGTCAGAGGGCGGGGCCTCAGGTTTGAAATCTCCCGGGTTTGTGCGTGCACGTGAATAACTTGGTTTCGTTCGTACGTCATGGCGAAACACCTAATGAATCGGTATCAAGCCGACTCGTTTGAAGCACTATGAGTCGACTCTTTTATAGATGAATCAACCGTTTTAAACACTGTATTCTTACAGATTTAAGCCTTAGCTGGATACTTCACTTCACTTAGAGCTGTGTTACACACTACATGGAGGGGAATTTTCAAAAACCCATGATATGGGCTCTTTAAATATTTTTAATTTCAGAGATGCATCGCATTGGCGGCCATCAGTCTGTTATACTGAGCAAAGACAGTTGATGTTGTTCATCTACAAGATGGTGACAGAGACCGCATAGTATGCCCTTAGAGGAGGAAAAACCCAGTGTCATTTTTTTAAGCTGATCAAATCATTCTAAAACAGGTCAATGGCATCAGGACGCAGCCTTTATGATGCAAGCTGACATTGCATCACCCAGCGAGGCAATGACAGACACAATGAACTTAATGAAGTTAGTGACGTCACTGTGATTGGTAGGGTTAGGGGTGGCGTTAGGTGAGCGCATTAAAAAGCATTGGATTAGGCTCAGATTGCAATGCATCCAGACCCCTCTCAGACTGCTAGCATTTTATGCCGTTCAGCCTTATAAGATTAAATGTGAGCAAAATCACCTGTTTTGTTTATTTATTGTTTATGTTTATGTACTATACATTTGATAGTATATAAATGTATGATTAGAGCGACATTCAGGCAGGCAGGCAGACAAACAGATAGATAGTTAGATATACCTCAGTATTTTGCAGTTGCTGTAGTTCCACTGGTTCATTCATTATATCTTCCTGGTCAGAGCCCTACAGAAAGATCTTTAGTGCATGATGTTACTTTAAATCTAAAATATAAAATGGTATTTTTAAAAATGTTAAACTACCTGTGTACCGGATGAAAATGTGGACATTGTAGACAGAGTTCTCTTCACTCTATATGACACCTGAAAGTATGTGAACAGCACAGTAAAAACAATTTTATTGTGTGTGTGTGTGTGTGTGTGTGTGTGTGTGTGTGTGTGTGTGTGTGTGTGTGTGTGTGTGTATATCGTCACCTTGGAATTATAAGGTTCTATCTGCGTTCTGAATGATTTTGAGATTGAGTTTTTGCATTCCATAGCAAACAATATGTGTGTAACATTAGTTTTTTTTTAATAAAAAGTCCTAAAATTTTAACAACTTATAAAAAAACATCCCATAATGTAAATAAGTGGTCATTTAATAAGAATATATCAATAATTCAATTTTGACAAAAATGTCAGATAGACGATATATATATATATATATATATATATATATATATATATATATATAATTATATATAACATTTTAGACCTCCAAAGATACAAATGCTCTTGTATTTTAAACAAACAAAAGATGCTCACCTTAGTACTACGATTAGAGATTTTCTGATGACTTGCTGTGCATTTTCTGGGCACTTCAATAGATTTCTAGCAAACACAGACAAAAAAGGTAAAGCATTTGTTTCCTGACAATTTGCAGATCATTGCTGATTTGATACATTACCTTATCAGCTTCCAAAATGGTATAATCCCAGTCTGTAAGCTCACTGTGCTCACTTAGTGGATCCTGCATAATATGATTTTATTGATTTTCCATACAGGTTCATGCTGATTGTGAACATTATCAGTAATCCAATTACAGCGATAAATAAAAAAGTGGACTGCATTACCGTTTCCACAGCAAAACGTAATGCTGGTTTTGGGGAACTGCGGAAAGTGCCATTTAGCTTGCCTGAATTATCCTACAGAAAAGAGGCAGTGATTATGCCTTCAGGGATTATGCAAATCAAAAACTAGATATATAATCAACTGTACAGAATAAACTAAGTAATGATGAGCACCTCTACGTTGTTATACAGGGGATGTAAGAGATGGTCATTACTGGCCAGCAGTTTGATGTGTAATGGTGGGCTGTCCTAGAAGAGGAAAGCTAGAGAACATTATGCATAATCAACAGTGCCAAAAATAGACTAGTTAACACAATACATATAAAGAAAACAGGTTGTCATATGTGTATTATATTACTGTAGCAATATACCTCTCCAGAAGTGTCCTCAGTTCCTCTTGGAAATGTTTTGAGAAAATTAAACAGTGAATTCTCCTCCTAAAGACATTAATCAGAGAATCAAAATAGAAATTGCCTATTTTGAATGCAAGATATTTGGTCAATATTATGGGTGTCACATTGTGGCCTCTCTGACATAATGGCTTACATGACTGTCACTGGCTGGAAAATCCTCATTCTTAAATACTGGTTCTTTCTGTAAAAAAAAAAGAAAAAGTAATAATAATAAAACAGCAGATCTATGCATCAAACAAAGCTGAACGAATTATTTCAAAGTGTTTTGCTAAGTGCAAACTTAAAGACATTCATTTAAGAATATATTGTGAGAACAATATTTCAATATTGCAACACCTTGGTGTGGGTTTCTGTTTGATGGTGTTTGCTTGCTGACAGTTCTCCATCTTGTAATGACAGTTTTTCCTGTTGAGAGAGAGGAAGGTAACATCAGATGTTTGTGAGCTAAATCAACCATAAAAATTGCAGCATTATTCTGTGTAATGTGCAAAATTACGTAAAATTTGCCACAACTATGTTGCAGGAATTGTTGTAAAACAGAATAAACTGTTTAAAAGCAGAGTATAACTAGGTCCATCACCTGAGTATTTGTGTTTTTTTATTCAGATCAATTCTGTCATTATAGTAGTTGTGATTCATTATTAATAAGATTATGTTAAAAGCACAATAATTGAGATTTTTCATTAAAAAAACAAAAAACACGAGAACAGTGTTATATATTTTGCTACAGATATGATTATGTTGTCCAAATATGTCAAAAAACTAGTGACAGATCGTATTTCTCATCAGCAATCACTTTAGTGGTCTTGATTCATTTTGACAGCTTTCAGCCTTATATTGCTTCATAATACCATGATAACTAGTTTATTAATTAATTACTCAAATATTGTATGCAACTCTACAGGCAATCATCTCATTTAATCATGTGGTATCTTTGCCAAGGGTTTGGGTGATGTTTGAGCAATATCTCTGAGGAAGTCTTTTGCCTCCCCCTAGTGTCTAACTGTATGACTGTATTCATTATCATTCACTAGCTCACAATTACAGATATTTGGCTGAATAAAATATGCATATTTGGCATGCTGTTTGAGGAGAGGGCTACAAATTTGGAAAGACAGCCTACACTGAAGCAACATTTTCATTAGATTTACTTAATTTTTTAAGGTAAGTGGTTGCAAACAATTTATATAGTCTAAATAAAAAAAAAAATAAGTTGAACATTCCTAAATGTAATTTGTTTGTTTAAATTCAGCCTATATAAATTGTTTGCAACAATTTTGCAAAAATATATTTCTTTTAGTGTAACTTATGCTATTCCCCTTTTCAAGAAAAAGACAGAGATAGGGGTCTGAGTGTAGTGTCTAGTCTGCCATTGGAATGCACACCCTGCTCCAATTTGTAGGAATAGGGTTTAAAAATAGGGCATTTGGGGGCTGAAAGTTGACAGAAAAACAGAGGTAGGATATATTTGATTATTTATGGGGGTTTACTCTTATATTGATTAGACAGTGGGACATGCTTAACTATTGGTCTTATACTGAATGGATAATAGAAGGGTTGTCAATAATGAATCGGCCTTGTCAAAGCATCTCAGCATGTTTCTCTCTAAATTTGTTAATAAAACATCATTTAGTTTGTTTCTGCAAAGTATAGTATGTTAGATACGAAAGCATTTGGACAAAAAAGGTAACCCTTTGATAGCTCAGTTTACTCTTGCTTTAATCGTTTCAACTTAAAATGATGAATTATTTAATTTACATGAACAGACTATATTAATTAGATTTAGTTGTCTGTCATCAAAACATTTTGGCTTAAATTGGTTTTGTAATGTCCAAAAACTCCACCTGTGGTTCTACCTCCTGTGCAGCGAGACTTGTCACCTTTTTAGGTGTCTTCTTAAACAATCTTCTAAAAACAGCTCCTTTCCCCTGAAATATGAAGACAATGTACAATCTAGTAACTTTTCACTGTAAAACATGACAAATGAAATGAACTGGGTATAAATATAAAGGCCCATAGTCAGACTGGTGAAAGGGGTGGTTCTTTTATTTTAAAAAGTGGACCCTTTTGCTGTTATTCGCCTCAATTTTTATTTAATAAGGAAGTTTAAAGAGGCTGCATTTTAGTGACATTTTAAGCACTATTTCTTCATCATTAGCTGATGGTCAGCATAACCACACTTTTTGATGTACCAAAAACATTTCCTAAATATTTAGAATAAAGAAATATGAAAACAATACTTATTTTTTAAATGCAAATGTATTACATCATATATCATTAGAAAAAAATTGAATCTTTTTTAATCTGTTTAAGTTTTAAATTAAAAACTAGCATATTGTCATTTAAATATCATTAATTAAAATAACAAACTGGCCTGCACATTCAATTTTCCTCAGTCACACTGAAGCGACAGCCAACAGTGGATTAAACCTGGTATTAAAGCCTTTTTCAATGGGTTATTTTCACAATTTATTATGGCATAACAGTCAAAAAGTGACAAATGAGCTCATGTATGGGACAAATTTTAAACCTTTGTCAGTGAAGGGTAGGTCTTTTGAATCACCCGAACCCCCTGTATATACGGGCCTGAATGTACACCATTTACAATAACTGTTGAGCACATTAGATGGCAAACCTTAGGGTCAATGGTGTCTGATAGTCGATCATTGAGAGACGAGACTTCACTCTCAGCAAACTTGTTCTGGGAAAAAATGTTAACTGATTACTCTCAGAAACATGTCTGCACTTACAAAAAATTATCTATGAAAAAATTCTATGAAAAATAATAAAGAAATAACAGTGGCACGTTTAATTAAGTATTATTTTAAAAAGGGAAAACTCATTGTGTATTAATTTCTATTATTTTTTAGAGTCTGAATCTTCTACATATTTCACTACTAGTTCAAAATCTTCATCGTCTGCTGCTTGTCTGTTTTCTAAATGTTACTTTTTATCCCAAAGCAGAGTCAAAGCAGATTCAGAGCAGCATTCTGAGAAATTATACTATAACATCAAGGCACTTCTATTGTTCCCTTACAGACTGTCATTAATGCAAGTCAGTCCGTCATGCACTATACTCTCTTTGTTAAGTAAAAATAGTCAACAATGCAAATAAAAGGACAGACGTTATAAACAAGAGAGCTTTTACATCAAACTACAAACCCCTGTCTGAATGTTTGCTGCTCCCAGATCTTTAAACATGCACTGTCTCGCCTCGGATGAGTGCTCAGCTGTGTCTGAACGCCTGGACATTGAATCTGCTCTCTCCTTTTGGCACAAGCAGAGGAAACAACACAAATTGACAGTTCATATATGTGACTGCTAAAATGTATTTGAGCGTTTAACTGCATGACAGTGACACATGGCTTACCTAAATTATATCTGCTGTTTTCTTCTGAATCAATGGCACTTTATGTTAACTTCACCTACAGATGATCACTATTAAATCTGTCCCACTCAAATAAGATAAGTTGTGCATCAAACTTAATTTAAATATTTTTATTATTTTATATGCCCTGTAAAATGCTCTATATCATAACTAAGCTGTCATTCTCTCGGATGGACTCTTGTATTTAGGACTTGTGTCCATGTATTATTATTTCAGTCCAGGCCCTGAGAGATCAAAATTAATTATCACAACCAACTCGGTTTCACAGGTTATTAAAAATTTACAAGAGCTTCAGACACATTTTGAGTGGTTCATTAACTAGCTCACAAATTCCTTGTTCATATAAATAATGTCAATAATCACTTTCACAGAATTGCTTTTAAAATCTATTTGCACTTTTATGCTTGCTTTTATTTTCCTTTTTAAAAATATGCATTTTAAATGAAACTTTTTTTTATGATCAATTCCATAATTTTCATGTTTTAAAATGATCGAAAGGACAGGGACACCGTGGGCCCAGTGGAATCAGGGAGCCCCGACCAATGCCAAAAAGCCTATAATTAACATATAGCTCTTTTATAAAATTTTCTATCATACTGTATGTTGTAAAATCTGTCTATCACCATTAAGATTTTAATGTTATTAGCCTTCTTCTTTTTTAAAAGTGGAACGTTCCTTCCGTACTGCACATGCAAATGTTAAAATCTAATTACAAATATGGCTAATTAACTGTACATTTTGTTTTGTGAATTTATTGTATTTAATTTTAAGAAAATGAAGGTTCCACTTAAAATATATTTTTAACATGTGGTTTGTTCACAAAAAAAAAAAAAAAAAAAAAAAACTACAGAGAAAACAAAATATCTATAGAGAAAGAGAATGTTTTGAGTCTCAATGCAATGCCCATACACTGAAATTGCTTTGGCCCCCAAATCAGTCCGCCCCTGCATAGACAGCAAATTATATCTCCAAACTAGTAAAAATCTAATTAAATGATTAATTGTTTAAAATGTGAAAATTTGCAAATAAAAATAACAGATGGTGATCTCAACACCTCTTAAATGAGAATTTAGAAACATTTCACCTCGTATTGCTTTTTAAAAATCATATTTTATATGACTTATTTTAAAATAGCCACATTTAAGTTTTAGTGAATTCAATAATATTAAATATAAAATGATTAATATTTTTATATTTGATTCACATATGACTGTACCCTACTCATAACCACATAATACCTCATTTTAATGTAGTGAGACTCTGCTTCTGCTTCTGTGTTCCCTCTGGAATCACCATTGTGGTATTTCTTTTCTAAAATTAGATGGGAAACAAATTTACACAATATGTGTATCATAAAAACATAAATAATTACTACAACAAAGTGCTGTGTAACAATCCAGAAAATTAACAACAGGCACTGACATCATTATGAGCAACACAAACGCAAACGGTTACACACGCGTAAACGCCTCGCGGACCCAACGCTTCTTTTAACGTTAGACAAACTATAAATAGAGACAGTGATTTGCTCATTTTGTTGTTTTATTTCAAAACATTTCAATAGACTTCTTTTCCGAAACTGGCAGCTCGTTGTAAAAGTATTTTTTCTAGTCTTAATGTCTGAGAGCAACGTCTGATTTGCACATGGCTCGAGCCAAACTAGGAAGCGATTTCTATTCCGAGACCTGACTGAAGAGTTTATTTTGTAAACACGCTGAATTGACATTCGCAACCACATTTCACCGAACTGTTTTGCCTACCTTATGCTTCCATGCGTACAGCCACAGAGAGATCGACTGTCAAAACTTTGCAAAGCCCCGCCCGGTGAAATCTGTGTCGAGTAATGACAAGCACAGTGAACCACCTCATAGTATCAGTATGACGTAGTCGTGTCTCTTCACGAGTCAAGACATCCACGACCAAACAACACACAAAAGGGTGTTTCTTAAGACACATTTAGTATAGGTTTTTTACAATTAATATATATATATATATATATATATATATATAATATGAGGTGGTTCACTGTGCTTGTATGTGTATATATATATATATATATATATATATATATATATATATATATATATATATATATATATATTTTTTTTTTTTTTTTTTTTTTTTTTCCTACATGAAGGTCGAATAGACCACAAATGCCCCCAATAAAGAATATCTTATTTTTTATTTTACATACAAAATAAAAAGTGAAAATACCTTCATTTTAAAGGTACTAAAGACTGTCACAAACTTGCAGTGACATTATGGGTATAATACATTACAGACAGACAGATATACATAGACAGACAGATAAAGAGGCACATGGATAGATAAATAAATAAGAGCATCGATGACACATTTGGCAATAGCAGATGTACAATAACATAATAAATGTTTAAAAAACAAATGTTTTAGCAGCAGTTACAAAATCCACACCATGTTGTCAGGAGTGCATTATTACATGTGCTTAGAGGGCTATAGGAGCCTACTAACTTCACAAATCAAATAAAAATAATTTAAGGTTTGCTAATAATTATTCTGAAATCCGTATGACACTTCTGAAGCAACAACAAAACAAATGTCTCCAACAGTATCTGCTGTGTACAATTCAGATTCTCAGTGGCAGAAAAGTGCTTGAAAACAGATAAGGCAGTGATTAGCGTGTTTAGCCTACTGGTGATTAATGTAGATCTTAGACTTTAATCCTTTTAAAAGCAGCAGTTACACTTTAAAATAAAATGAAGTGGATATAGTCCTTAAAAACAAGGTAAGACCACAGATTTACTGTGCTTTATAATAAGAGAAGCCACTATAGTTATATAACCATATCATTTATACACCATCTTGTGAGAGTAGAAAAAGGCAGGGTAAAAAAACCCAGTGGTAATAAACCCAGAGGAACTTATACAGAAATTTGTCAAGATGTTTGGTCTTCTTTCACAGTGGTGGTCATGCGCAGCTCATCTCGAATGATATTGAGCTCCATCAAGCCCTCATGTAACTGTTCTGCCACTTCTCTGATTTTAGCAGCAAATTCTGACTTGGCACCATTTTTCAGCTCATGGGAGTCCTTGGCCACAAAGTAGATGTCCATCCCAACAAAAAGCCCCGTCAGAACACCTGTGGATATGCTAGCGATCTGCACAGCACGTGCCGCAGTGGTTCCTGCCACATTGGCTATCTGCATCACACGCATAATCTCATTAGCATTAGTCAGAATAGCTTTGCCTGCCATGGCACCGTCCTCATAGACATTGTCAAAACATGGGAAGTCTCGATTATAAGCATGCTTCTTCATCTTATTCAGGTTGAACTTGCGCAGGTTTGTTATGCCTTGCTTGATGAACTTCATGCATTTGTTAAGGTCACCCATCTTTGCCTGGTAGTCTCCCACAATGCGTTCCACCTTCTTGCGATCCAATGAGTTGTTGACGGTACTGGTTATGCCAGCAGATGCAGAGGTAAGCCCACCTGCCATGGCAACACCCAGACCCACCGCAGTGACAATCAGAGAGGTTCCCATGGTAAAAGGAGCCAAGATGAGGCCAGTTATGGTAGCTACACCTCCCACAGCGCTGGTGGAGCCACCGGTGATCTGGGCTATTTTGGTCTTCTTATTGAAGCGGTCCAGGCCATCTGCAATAGCGTGCAGGTCGATCACGTGCTGCCACAGTCCTTCTGCTCGCTCTGAGAAAAGTTTGTTAAACACGCGTATGCCCTTTTGCACCTTGTCAGCGGTTACAGCAAAAGCCCTGAGAAAAAGCGGCTGGTCAGTCACATTTACTTTATTTGTCCTGTCACATGAACACAAAATGAATGCGGGCTTACTTGGCTTCCTCTTTTTCAGTCATGTTGTCATTTTTGGGCATGTCCTCCCATTCTGAAATGGAAAAAAACAATGGGTACAGTAAATGTACAATAAGTAAGTGTAATGGAAAAATCTGCTTTCTTAATTCATATTTAGTAATCAACAGTATACTAACAACAAGGTTAATATATAATAAATGAGATGAACAAGTTTCTTTATACAAATGTACAAAGGGTCTTTTTCTTTTGTAATTTGATTGTGGTGTAAGGGTTGAAACACCTAAGGAAGCACCCATGGCGGTTGAGTGAATCTCAAACTGTCTGGTCTTATTCAACTTCATTTTAATTAAATTTTTAAAGCAGGAATATGATATTTCCACAACATCCCAGGTTTATTCTGATTGCGTATTCCTATATACATTTCTGAAGAGCGCTAAATACATCCCCATACATCCACCAGAGGCCGCTGTTGACTGACTGACTGACCAATCGGCCGATCCCCCCAATGCTTCCACTTCCCCTAAACCCATCCAATAGTGTTTTAAAAAGCACCGATTGATTGACCAGCGCCCAACCCCTTCCCTAAACCCAACCTCAGTATTTTAAAAAGCAATGCAGAAAAAGCAAAGCCCCCTGATTTTTACCTTGTTTTCAGATTTTACCACATTCACGCCGTGTTATTTACTTGCTTATTTTATTTTTTTGCTTCTGTTTTTGTCTAACCTGCTTTCTGAAATCGTTCTTCACTGGATCAACTCTGCTCTACATTTTAAGTCTGCCAACGTACGTTTCAAGGTACCAGACAAACTGGTAACAGGGGAAAAACTGTCCATACGGGGGTAAGCGGTCAGCTGGTAAACGAGAAAGGAATGGCGTCATACATTCCCCGTGACATTCATTTTAAAGGCGAAATGCAGTCTTGCGTAGCTCTGGCTACATAATCCGCAATCTCTAGAAATGTATATAGGGCTATGTTTTTAGAATAAGCCTATGTTGCATTAACTACACAACACCACTTTCAACTAAAAATAGAAAACTGTTTGTAACAGGTGGTTCATTCCACTGTGTCGATACCTGGTAAAGTAGAGAATAAGACTTTGGAAACTGAAGAAATATTTACATGACAACAGCATTTTAGGGGCCTGAAAACTTCTGAACAATGAGTAGAATCTAAAAAACTCTAAGCCTATTGTGCAGAAATTACATTAAAAGTAAGGTTATCTGGCCTATAATACATCAACTTAGCCATTTTTGTGAATTTGTTTGAATGGTGGACAATTTGACAACATTGCTATTTTTCTGCAAGCGTTTTCAAAAAATGCAAGGGAAAAACTCAGTGTTTAATAAAGGATTGTCATGCAGACACCCTTGGTTTAAAGTTAAAGCAAGGATGTCCAAACCTGCTTCTGGAGGGCCAATGTTTTAGATTAAACCCTATTTAAACAGTTTTGAATTCACTGGAAACTTCCAGGCGTGAGTGCTAGTGCTAAATACAAGAATGTGGGCAATTGTGGACAAACATGGTTCATACAAACTCACGTTCCACAGTGTTCCACCAATCCATGAGGCCCTCAAGATCCTGTGACAAACACATTTAGGATCATTTAAATATGATCTTTTTAATATGGACTCTAAAGCAAAGGCAAGGCTCTATACTTATAGAACCAACCTCCTCATCCTCTCTCTGAGTTTCACTTAATCGAAAGTCGTCCAGCCATTCCATGAGGGTCTTCTTGTGGTCTTTAGTCTGATTAGAAACAGAAAGTTATGTGAGGTTTATTCTGCAAGCGAAGATTGGACAACAATGTGTAAAGGAGAACTTGATGGGAAACTTCCAATGCAGAAATCCACATTAATTGCAGAAGTTGTGAGTCAAAAAGGAAGGTAGTTTCTACATGTGGTTTGATTTTGTCAGAGGTTGCAAAAAAAACCCAAAACTTGTTTTTTTTTTGTGCCTGCACTTTAAAAGAAAAAGGTCCTATTGAAATCTAGTTTAATTACTGTTTTTCCTGTGTTGTGTAAAAAGAAAAGTTGAGTACACACCACACCAACAGACACTGACACTCATGGATAAGCACCAGATTAAACGTCACTTCTCAAACATTCTACAAGCCAACATAAGCCAATTCAGCATGTTTAATTGCTGAAAACAAGCTCAGACAGACGCTAACACAAACTGCTCTTACTCTTTGCAGACATAAAAAATTCCAACAGTTAATCTACTATCCTGACCTGTAGTATCAAACTTTCCTATATTTGAAACCACTACAGTCTCTCGGTTTTCATTTTATGCCTGTTGAGTATTATGTTTTATATTAGGATATTACAGTACCTCTGCAACAACACTGCCAGCTCCAATATTTTGGTCTTCATTTTTCTTCTGTGTTGTTTTGTTCTGAAATAACAGCACATGACTCCAGTGAATAACAATTTTGAGCGTTTTTAAAAAGCAAGTAAGGAAAACAAATTGTATTTACCTTTGCTGCAATCTGAGGCATAAAAGGATTTTTGGGTTTCTTTTTTTGTCCTTTTTGCTGTAAAAATGTCAAATAAAGTAATGTTATTTACTGGGAACCGACTCCAGATTACCCATTTTGAAACATAAAATGATAAAACCAGCAGTATTCACTTCAAATGATAAAGTAGGTGCTTACTGTTGGATTTTCCTCTTCTCTAGCTTCTCTAGGTGTCTCAGCCACCTTCTTTTCCAGGACCTCATTATTATCAACCTGCAATGATAAGTAAAATCCAGGAGCCTATGATTCCCCAGGCCTACATTTCAAAAATAACTTCAAATGAGTGTTTATCTGGCCTATAATCTGTTGTAAGGAGAAAAGCAAGATACAAAACCAAATTTATTTTAAACAGAAGCAACTTTATATAACAAATCATGATTGCCATACCAAAAAAAAAATCACTAATTGCTGAATGGTTTGCACAAGTGTTTAAATGATCGCTTTGCTACTTGTTTATAGCAACTTAATTCAGTTTAACTCATCTTTATTTCTGCTTTTTAAAATGTAGACTGTTTCAAAGCAGATTAACAAGAAAATAGAAAGCCATAATATAGCCACAATATCTCAAAATTTGGAAAATTCTAGCAAGTCAGGCAGGCAGGAGAGCAGTGGTAGAATGCTGGTGTAGTTCTACTTGAATTAAAACTGATAATTTATCCTGTGCTAGACGATCTTATACAGCAAGTCATTTTCCACCTGGCATTCTGATGTGCATGTATGTACTTGTCTTAAATGTTTGGTAATAGCCATTTAGGCTGGGCCAATAAAAAAAAATGTTGCTGAAAATGCCCAAAGGTATGTTCAAATGACTGCTTCCACACTAAGCCACCCTTGTGCAAGATTCCTAGATGAACAGCAGTAACTTTAACCAGTTTTTGTTGAACGTTTCAGTGAAGCTCAGTGTTTAGTGTTTATGATTAATCCTTAGATAAAGCAATTAAGCACTTTAAAAATAGTACCATAATGATGTACCATAATATTGCTGCTGTTTCTCTTCTTACAGAAGTATTGCTTTGTATGCTACAATGACTTATACGATAATAAACTTAAGTTCTTAAACATGTCACAAATTATTATATTTCCCTTCAAAACTTTTGTAGGATGTATCCATGTGATAAGTGGGATAATGTATGGGAGAATGTGAATTTTTATCCTAATAAAATAAATAAAACCGTTGATGCAAATCTAGATAACCTTGATAATAGCTTATTATCTAAAAGTCACATTTTTCTCAATGTATCAAAGCTTATACATGGTTAATATTACAAATTAGTGCAAAGATGCGTATATACCTGCCCAAGGACTGGTTGGCCTGCAACATCAGCTAGCTCTTCTGGATTTAAACCTGAACCCATATCCTGGAATAAAAGAACAAATGCATCCTTCACACATAATATTTGATGAAAACTGCCTTGTCTTATTAGTCAATTAGTCTAAAATCAATTAGTTATAGGCAGTCCTATAAGATCCATGGAAAAATGTAAGTCTATGCTGTAATATATCTCTTCAGACTGCAAATAATATCTAAAATTGGGATACGCCTTATAAAAGGCCCACCTGCATGAGTTTTGACTCTTTATCATCAGGTTTCTCACTGGGTTCCAAAAACTGTTGTGTTTTTTCCACGCCCTGCTGAGGAAGCAGATGCCTTCCTATTACAACATGCTTTATAATCAGAACTAGCGAAATTAACAACAACTATTAGGTTTCATCTCATATGCAATACATGACAAAGTGTAAATAAGAGAGACAGAAAAAAACAGATCAAAGGCAGGCACTTACTTTACTAGTGGAGGGCTCACCATCATTTTCCTCGATTTTAAAAACTTCACTGTCCATCTTAAGAATGTTCTCCAAACTGATGAAAAAAGTACAGAGAGAGTCAAAGATAACATTCATACACTTATTAAACTGTGGATAATGTTGCAGTCAGAAAAAAACATCACATGCTGAAGGTTTCCTTTGAACTGAAAGGTCATCGTGAGAGAGAAAGAAAGTTTTGTTGAAAAATGACCTTGAAGAATGTTGTGGGGCAAAACAGACTTCAGATTAGCAACATTTGGCATTACACATTAGCATGTCATTAGCTCAAAAGATGACAGACAGACAGACAGACAGACAGACAGACAGACAGACAGACAGACAGATAAATAGAAGACCCCGCTGAAAATTAACTTTTTTTTTTACTACAAGGCAATCATGATAACAATCATCAATTGTTTTAATATAAATAATACAATATAATATAATATAATATAATATAATATAATATAATATAATATAATATAATATAATATATAGCACTGCTGTAACACGTTAGTAATACAAAGTAACGTTAACTGTGGTTGGTACGTTAGTTGCTGTATCTGGCAAGACACAGTCAAGTCAAATCACGGCATTTATAACAAATATAATCAGTGCCTCTTCTGCTTGTTTCCTGAACAGTGTTGCATAATAAGTTAATATAATCAATGTAATGAAACGTTGTCCTTAAAAGTTTGACAAGTCATGCTCAACTTACTTCACACCGCCGACCTCCGAGGGAAAATAACTGCGTTAAAAGAGTAAAGTGAGACGAAAATTAACACGTGATCTATCTATAAAATGAAACACAACCGCTTGGTTTAAATAAATCTCATGTTATTTTCTCATAGTTCGTCAAACTGTGTGAGAGTGTTGTGTAGTATCGCAATGTCATCAACTCCGCCCTTTGTGCAGTGCTTGTTGTGCCTCGTTTTGTAAATCCACGGACTGCAGGTGGTGCTAGAGACGTACTACACTGAGAGACTGCTCATTTGTTTACAGTGTCACATGAACCTGAAAATAAACCTTTAACTTTATTAACACAAATAAAAACAAACAGAGAAATCTAATTTATGCTGTTTTAATACTAATTAAAGTGGCCAAATGTCCCCACAATATATACTATAATACCAGTATTTCTGTCATTGTGGAAATATTTTGGTTCCCATGAAAAGAAATCTTGCAAATTTGTATATATAGCTACAAAAATGCTGAATGTTTTCTGTGAGGGTTGTGTTTTAGTGTAGAGACTTCAATGAGAGAAAAAACAGCATGAAAATCACATGTGGATATAGTCTCCACATGTTTTGGCCTTGGGTGTTTGCAGTCCAAAGTTTATTGGTCCTTTTAAATAATTACATAAGTTGTGGTTTAGAATGGTACTTACAGAATAATACTCAGTTAGTACGCTACACCATTACGAGACAGAACAATACATAATGTTGCTTTTTATAACAATCCTAATGTTCAATGTTTGGACCACAATGGCAGCAAGTTTATTTTCACCAAATATAAACATCATTGAAGAACTGGAAAAATTTAAAATCATGGAAACAAAGATCAAATCCATGGAGCAGAAAATTGAGCAACTAAAAGCAGAAAATGCAGGTAATGTAACTTAAAGCAAAAAAATAGTTTGCTTTTCAAGGTGTATATTAGCAAGTTCAACCACAAAAGCAATTTCCAGTGCAAGAACGTTTTTAACAGCACTAATCTTAAACATTGTGGAATTTGTAAAAACTAAGTTATTAAATCTGTGATCTTCACTGTCTATGTGCTCAAGTAATGATGATTTCATTATTTTAGTGCAAACAAACTGGAGGTTAGACAGATCAACATTGAAGAATATTATCTAATAAAATGAAGATAACAGATCACAGTCTTCGACAAATCTCAAAATGTAAAGCCTTCCACAAAAGTTTTTTTTTTTTTGCAAATAAAGTAATTCTTATTAATAATTATTGCTAAACAAAAATTATTGACACAAGCAAAAGAGCTGGAGACAAGCTTATTTTGATTTTATTTTATGTATTTATTTATTTATTTATTTATTTATTTATTGTAGTTACACCATGGTAACTGCAAATTAATTGGTTGTATTCTTATCTTCTTTACACAATGTTGGTGTTTTAGTTTATTTTGTTTATATAAATTTTGGTTCATTGTATAATTTCTGTATTGTTTTTAGGGTGACAATTTTAACATCTGTCCAGGGACAACGGATGAAAACTAGCTTTCGGGCTAACTCTGGTGCATTTGCAGCAATGCTAATTAAAGAACATTGTCCCTGCAAAAATAAAATAAAATAAAATAAAATAAAATAAAATAAAATAAAATAAAATAAAATAAAATAAAATAAAATAAAATAAAATAAAGCCAACAAGAAAATGAATAAATGAATGAATAATATAAGATAAAATAAAATAAAAAAACTAATGTGTACTTAGAGTATTGTAGGGTCCAGCCAGTTGGTCCAATGACGGTATCCAATGGTGGATGAAGGTTCACTGCATGTTCGGTCTTTCCAGTGCACAATGTTGATTTATATTAAACTTAACTCATATCTGACTCCAATTTTAGTATGAGGTGGTTTAGAATATTAATATATTTATCCTCGTTTTATCTGACTCCAATTATAAAACATGAGAAGATTATTTTGTTTCCTTTCACATTATTTTAGATTATGATTGAATATTCTTTTGATTTGTTATTATACCTTATTCTCATTTACTCAGATTCCTATAGCATCTCGAGTCTTGCACCGGCCGGGTATACAATCTCTTAATACAAGCTTGTCAGTCTTGGTCATTAAACAGAGGCGATTAACCAATCTCCTAAAAAGGCAGAACCCTACTTACTCAATTTAGGAGATTTTTATCTGGTCCCCATAGATCTGTTATCTACTAATTCAAGACAAAGTATTTTAATAATAATCGCACAGGATTATACGTTTGTAGATGAAGGCCTAAATATCCACATTTAAATTAGTTTCAACAATATTTTGTTGTTCTAAATAGTTGGCCTTTTACAGTCCAAGTATACTTGAATTAATGCCAATTTGTTAGTCGGATCTCTAACAACATTGTATAGCGTGCCACGCTGCTCCGTCTAACATGTTTTAATCCGTTACTAACCTGTACATTGGCTTGTAGTGCTATGGACAACAACATTTATCAGTGATAATAACACGAGGTTTGATTCAAAACATAATTTATTAGTCAGGTAAATGTATTATGCCAATTCAATCAGTCAATTCATAAACGATCAATACAAAACATTAAATTTTTAAAGATAAATCCAAGATGAAAAAGATGCATTCCTGACTTTTTAATATACATAACATGGGGCAGACCCCATGTTATGGGCTGATCTGGTTAGGCAGAATCGCCCTGAATCTTTCTCAGACCTTACCTTAAATAATCCAAGAATTCCCTCAAGGAAGGGGGTGTGAATAACAAAAGGCATTCACACTTAGTGTCACACCCCTCACAGTGGTTCAAAAGATGCCTGAAGTTATATATTTATTGTTCTGATTATGTCTATTTCTGAGAGAATGAGACCATTGTACCAATCGCACTGAGACATTTCAAATGATATCAAACATGATAGTTAAAGTCAGTTTAGTTAATCTAGAACATTCAAACATTGAAATGACCATATGCGTGAGTTGAGGGGATGAAGCTGAGTTTCAGCATACTCAGATGCAAATGCAGCAGGAACTGATTTTTCCCGCATTCCCCCCTGGTGGGTTGTGGAGTCCATTGGCCCTGTTTTTAGCTCATGTTTTGAATTGTCAAAGACATCAAAAATATTTGTAATATTTCAGTTCTTACAGTATCAATACCTGATGATATAAGTAAATGCCATGGTTTAATTTTACTTTTAGGGCAGGCTTTATGGTAAGTAAATTATATTGTTATTGTATTTAGTCTGAAAATGTAGAACTGGACTGTGAAAGTGCTACTAATTGACCAACATTAATAGGATCCCAAGAATAAAAGTTTGCTCATGCACTTTCTTCTGTTGAACACAAAATTAGATATTTTGAAGAAAGCTGAAAGGTGTAATTGTTGACTTCCATAACAGGAAAAAAATCAAGGACCTTTTTGTTGATGTTTAACAGAAGAAAACAAAGCAAAGAAAGGTTTTAAACAAGTAGAGTGTGAGTAAATAATGACAGAATTTTAATTTTGGGGTGAGCTTTACCATTAAAGTATCAAAATGGAACTTGCCGTTAAACATTTTCCTAACATAATAGAAACCAATTCATTAAACAGACAAAAGTCAACATTACATTCATTTATTTTTTAGTCCTCACGAAAAGAAGCTAAGACATTTTTAAACAAGAGGCTTATGTTTCGGGGTAGATCTAGCCTCACATGATAGAATAGACAGTTTATACAGTATACAAATTGTCTTTAGATAGACCTGAAATTACATTGTGATAAACAGGGCCAGATAGTTCACCTTGTGCTCAATAGTTTATACGGGAAGGTAAGAATAAATATTTGTAAGCCAAAGTCCCTAAGACTGTTCAATAACAGATTAGGGTTTGGGAAGTTGTTAAGTTCAATAAGGACAGCGTTGAAGCTGGAAATGATATTTTTGTATGTGGTGGCCATAAAGGCACAGGATTTTAGAACATACCAAACTTATACACGTCATGAAATTAAGAACTTGCAGCAAATAAGTAACTAATAAGCAAGAATAAATATTATTTTTAATGTGGCTTAATGGAAAGATGTTCTTTTTCATCGGTTGGTCATATTCTTCCTGTTCTTTTCTTTTCTAATTGATTGATTGACTGATTTACTTTGCAGAAGGGTGAAAGTAGCCTTTTCAACCTCACTGTCAGATTCATCGGGTATGATATATATCGGCCCTTTTGCACAGGAAACTGATCTTGTGTATAATAAAGTATTTACCAACATTGGAAATGCATATGATTGTGATACAGGTAAATAAATAAAAATATATCCAGTGCTATGACAATTTCATCTGGTCATTTGTCAAGTTTCTGCTGTTCTAAACAGGAATATTTACTGCCCCAGTAAAAGGAGTTTATTTCTTCAACCTTGTGCTCTTCACAAATGATGCCGTATCAGCCGGGGTGAAACTGCTAAGGAATGGTAAACTTGTGATTGCAGTGACAGATAACCCCCCTGCAAAAAACGGAGACTATGAGGACACAGCGAGCAACTCGGTCAGTCTTCTTTTGGAAGAAGGGGACCAAATAAGCCTAAAACTCTTGGAGAACCGTCGTATCTACACAGATGGGTTCAAACGTAACACCTTTAGTGGACACCTTCTTTTTACTATCTAAAGTTGTATGTATTAAGATACAATAAGAAGCAAAATCTAAAGCTGAGAAGTGAAAAAAAGCTTTAAATTCAATGACGCAAAAATATGAAAGTATATGACAAAAATAAGTGACAAATACGTTTGCAAACATGCACTTCTGTCTGTTAATTATTACTAATAAATAAAAACTTTCATTGTCAAGCATCATATTTATTTGTTGTGTATACCGATATTTGAATATAAAATTATATATTGCTGGTAAAGACTGAATTCTGTCTCTAAAATGACAATAGATCACACTATTGTCTTTCTTTTTTCTTTTTTTCTTTCTTTTAAAACCTGTTTTCACACATTTTAATCTGATTTTACTTATTTTTATTCTTTGTTTTTATTTTCATATACTGGTTTCTTTTATTCCTGTAAAGTACTTTGAATTACGATTGTGTATGAAATGTGCTATACAAACGTCTCATCCGTCTTTCAGATGAGACAGTAAACGGAGGTCCTGTCTCTCTGTGGTCGTAAAAAATCCCCAGATGTCCTCTGAAAAAGAGAAGGGGTTTAACTCTGGCATGCTGGCCAAATTTGCCCACAGGCCTCTGTCTGCATGGCCTCCAAACCATCCCCATATCATTATGGGCTCTGTGCACAGCTAAAGTTTTAAAGCCAACAATAAACTTCTGGTGAAAATTTAATGTGACTATTTTAAATTTCCCAAGGTTGTTTTAACATTATCAATATTGTAATGTAATGACAATACACTCAATTAAATAAACTTAAGCATTAATTTAGTTGTACAAGCATAAAACGAGATGAAAGACGGTTGTAACCACTAGCTCCGTCAGTGGCAAGCTAGCGCAGAAATTCAATTGAAAATACTGGGTTATTAAAATGTCATATTTTAAAATATTTTTTTGATTATAATTTTTGCAGACTGAAAAACAAAGATGTAAAATATGTAAAATAATAAAAATGTAAAATAAAGCAAGAAACAAGAAAAAATGACGTCATACAAAACATATATGGCCTACAAATAGACAGCATGGATGTAGGGAAAAATCAGAAATTCTTCAGAAATTAAACGACACCCTTAGTCTTTATAGTGTTGCAGAAAAAGAAAGACTGGATCCCACATTTTATCAAATTTCGCAGAGTTCCCAGAGGTGGTATATCTTATTCTTTCTAAATGTAAAGTGGAGGTGAGTCTGAGAAGCCAGTCAGAAAAAAGAGGCCTAAGATTTTTTTCCAAAAACAAAGGATAACTTTTTTTAAGCTATGATCATGCCATACTGAACAGGTAACCGTACATTTAGATTCAGAGTCTCAAGAAAATCTGACCAGCCAAAAATTGCTATCATTGTGTCCAAAAATTCTGAATTTGAACACAGGACCAAAAAAGATGTGCTAAGGTACCGTCAGCAGCTTTACACTTGTCACATGTGGGGGAAACCGAGGGACAGAATTTATCAAGCTTTGTTTTAGAAAAGTGAAGTCTGTGTAAAACTTTGTACTGAATAAGATGGTGTCTAGAAGTTATGGAACATGAATAAACAGAAAAAAAGGCATTGATCCCAATTAGTCTCAGATATTGAAATCCCTAAGTCTTCTTCCCAAGCAACTTTCAAATGAAGAGAAGAAAAATCGGATTTGTTTTTAAAAGCATTTACAAATAAAGAGATTAGGCCCCTAGCCTTTGAAGAGTTTAAAAATAAGTCAAATAACTCGCCTTCTAAAGATAAAACTTTTAAATCTGGAATATTTAGACGGACATAGTTTCTGACCCGAAGATAGGCTCCCTAAAAATATTAGAAGGGGGGAGGTTGAATTTCTCAGAGAGTTGTGAAAAGGTGAAAAAATATTATTAATGTATAAATCTTTAACACTGGAAACTTTATTTCACAGTATTTTAACACTGTAATTTCCATGTGACTTAGAATAAATGACTGCATCAAATGAGGCCCTTTTAAACAATTGAGCATTTATTAACATAATTTTACTTAATACCAGACAAAACAAATAAATAATGTTGATATTTTTAACAGTTAAATGCTCAATATTTGGGCTGTAATGGAAGATGGTTTATTTTCACCTAATATAAACATCATTGAAGAATTGGAAAAATTAATATCAAACAAAGATGAAATCCATGGGGGAAAAAACTGAATTTAGTTTATCATTTGTATTTCAATGATTTTTTTCAGTCAGTCATCTACAAAATAAACAAGAACGAATAACATTTAGTTTGAAATGACCACTATGGCCACTTCAGTTCAACGGCCAAAACAAATGGGCAAAACAAACTGTGAGCCTCAATAAAAGTAAAATATTCAAAAGTGATGTCTTATTGATGACTAAAAAAAGAGCTTAGCCTATTTTAAACAGCTTTTTTGTTAATGACAAAGTCATCCATCGTGCCCGACCAGTTTCACTTTGATTCATTTAATCAAGTCTTTTTATTACAATGAGCCAGGACAGCTTGGCTTTCCAAACTTAATGTTTTCAGCACTGAAATTGCATGTCCGATGGTCATTTTACATTGTAAACTTGCCAAAAGACTTCTAACATTATAGACACCAGTTCATAAAAGATGAAAAATAAGTCAACATTATGTCAACATACTGTTCTGAAGCTAATTTAAAATGGCCAAATGTCCCCACAAGTAATACAGTCTACAGTACATGCATTTTTGACCTTGTGGAGGAGCCTCTTTTTAGTAGTGTTTGCAGTCCAAAGTCTATTGGTCCTTTTAATAAACTGTGCAAGTTGTGGTCTGTTACAAACATAAATAGCTCCACTAACTCCACTGCAATTTTACTTTACTACAACACAACTTTTATCCACTACCAGAAAGAACAATAATGTTGATTACAACAGTCATAATGCTCAATATTTGGGCTACAGCGGCAGATGATTTATTATCACCAAATATAAACATAATTGAACAGTTGGGAAAGATTCAAATCATGGAAACAAGGATGGAATCCATGGAGAAGGAAATCGAGCGACTAAAGGCAAAAAATCCAGGTAGGCTAAAGTGATACTTGCAGCAAATGTTATTGACTACTTGCTTTCCAAGGCATAGATTAACACGGCCTACCATTAAGGTAATTTTCCATGTAACATTTTTTTTGTTGTTTGTAGTGTTCTCAATATTACTAGATCATAAAGGATTATTAAAAATAAATTTGGTAATATGCCGAATTTAATTTAAAGGCTAATGCCCCAGAACAAGTTAACCTAAACTAAAACTGTGTACATTGTGGAGATATATTTTTGATCGCAATGAGAATATGAAAATATTTGTAAGTCTTTTAAACTTTTCAATAAAAGCTGGTTTTTGTGAGGTTTTAGGATAAGTTCAATGAGAGCACTAAAAAAGCTGGAAATTATTGTAATTGTGTTTTTAGATTGTCGGTGCCAAAAAGACACAGGAGTTTATGAACATGACATTATGACCTCACAGCAAAAAGTATATGCTGCTGAAGACAATGTTGAAGAGCTAAGAAGCAAGAATGAAGGTGTTGTAAAAATAATTATTATTATCTGACCACGCTAAAGAGGTCAGTTAAGAAAGTGTAATGCAAATATGTTCTTTTAACCTACCTTATCATTTTCTTCTCATTTCTCCCACTTTTCTGATTTAAAAAAAATCTCTTCATTCTTTTGCAGAAAGGGTGAAAGTAGCCTTTTCAGCTTCACTATTATCTTCACATAACATCAAATATATTGGCCCTTATGCAGAAGATACCATGATTGTATATGGAAAAATATTTACCAACATTGGAAATGCATATAACACCACAACAGGTATCAGAATGTAGTGTGGGAACAAATTCAATGCTTTTGCAATGGTCAGCTTTTAAGTTTCTGCTGTTCTCAACAGGAATATTTTCTGCACCAGTGAAAGGCGTTTATTTCTTTAACCTTGTGCTCTTCACTCATGATGCCTTATCAGCTGGTGTGAAACTGCTAAAAAATGATGATCATGTGGTTGGAGTGACAGATAACCCTCCTACAGAAGACAAAGAGGACACTGCAAGTAACTCTGTGAGTCTTCTTTTGGAAGAAGGGGACCAGATAAGTGTAAAACTTATCGCGCACCGTCGTATCTACACAGATGGGTTTAGGCGTAACACCTTCAGTGGACACCTACTATTTACCATGTAATGTTGTAAAGCAATGATCTCAAAGTCAATTCCTGGAGGGCTGCAGTTCTGAATAGTTTAGCTCCAACCATCTCCAACTCAAACCTGCTTAATAGTCCATAGTAGTCTTGAGTTGGATCAGGGTTGGAGCAAAACTGTGCAGAGCTGCAGCCAATGAAAGCAAATGAAAATACACATTTGCTCACCTTCAAAAGATTTTAAAGAACTGGAAAATGGTAACCATTGACATCTAAAGTATTTATCTTTCCTATAGATGTCAATGGTTACAGGTCGTCAGCTTTCTTAAAAATATCTTCTTTCGTGTTCAACAAAATAAAAAAGCACTAGTGAATATAGTCAGTAATTTTTCACTTTTGGGTTAATTATCCTTTAAAATGATGATGGTGATGATGAAAAGCCTTTATTTGACACATACACTTTTACATGTAGTGAAACTGGACCCCCCTGACCAAACACAAACATCACACATTTCAAGGGGAAGACAGGTCAGATGACAGGTAGCTTTTAGAAAGAGAAAATAAGATACATTAGGGAAGAGGGAGGAAAAAAAATCCTCTCTCATACAGTCTATCAGTGATTGTTTATCTCAGGGGTGGCCAACCCTATTCCTGGAGAGCCACCTTCCTGCAGATTTCAGTTGCTACCCATATCAAACACACCTGAACCAATTAATTAGGACCTGAACACCGCGTGATCATTACAGCCAGGTGTGTTTGATATGGTTTGCAACTGAAATCTGCAGGAAGGTGGCTCTCCAGGAACAGGGTTGGCCACCCCTTGTGTATCTTTAGCTGTGTACATGTGTGTTTGTAAGCCTGTAAAGCAGAAGTCACTAATCTCGTTCCTGGAGGTCCGGTGCCCTCCAGGGTTTAGCTCCAACTTTCCTCAACACACCTGCCTGGGTGTTATACTTAATAAGACCATGATTAGCTTGTTCAGGTGCTTGATTAGGGTTGGATCTAAAATCTGCAGGACACCGGACCTCCAGAAATAAGTTTGGTGACCTCTGCTGTAGAGTCTAAACAGGTGTCCTTGGAAGAGTTAGCAGAAATTCAGAGTGTCTCATTATGTTGTTCTCCAGGGGAAGTTGTTTGTCTCCAGCCGAGGCCGTCTGGCATTAGAGTCTCAGGGAGACAGAAAGAGAAAAGGTTATCAAATTTGGGTCAATATCTGCCAATTTTGCAGATATCTAATGTCTGTCACTGGTCTTTCATTGCAAAGCTGCTAGTTTGTTCCTGGTGTTTTTCAATTTGCGGCCCATAACCAAAGTCTAAGTGCTAACAACCCTGCTCACCACCATTTCAATCCAGCCAGCCAGCTTAGTGGGATTTTGAACCGCACTGACCGCTTATATCAATCGTCAATACCCCAGAGCCTTGCATAAGCCCATTAGCAGAACCCTGGTATCAAAGTTCAGAATAGATATCTTCAATATCCTCCAGGGCACACAATACGCCACTTTTCCCACCCGTCCATCACGCATTCACCAGCAAACGTTCCCACAGGACAGTTGGGTTCCCCCAAAACTAGACTTCTTTCCGAGAAGATGGTGTCAATTGCATACAGAGACCAGGTGATTAAATCCATAATTCCCTATTGTTTGGAGAGCAGAGCAAGAAGAGCCTCAGAGATAGAATAAGATGAGACAAGAGGAGCCAGCAAGAAGAGATATGATAATTAAAAGTAGCAAAATCAAATATTTCTGAAGCTGTGATGCTAAGAAAATCAGCTTGAAAAGACAAAAAAAGTCAATAATGCAAGAGACAATTAGTAACAAAAACAATTTAAGTGTAGCACTTTTCCATGTATGCATTACTGTCTGTTGATTTTTGTTTATATTTAATTATTATTTAAAAAAACGTGAGTGTCAAATATTATAATTATTTGTTGATTAGAATATATTTTGTTATTGGCTTTGTATATTCAAATATAAAGCTATACCTGGAAAGATTGGTTTCTTTCACTATTGAATAAAATTAAATTAGAAGAAAAATGCACCTCTTTAATAAAACCAGGTAACCTGTTAAAGGGTCGCCAAAAGTAAAATTTTCTCACCCTCAAACCTTCATGGGTTTCTTTCTTCTACTGAACACAAAAAGAAATCAAGAAAAATGCTGAAAACCATTGGAAAAACAAATATCATGAAAGTCAAACTCAATGGCTACAGAATTCCAATATTTTATTAAAATATCTTATTTTGTGTTCAATAGAAGAAGGTAACTTAAGTGTTTGAAACAAGAAAAAAGTGAGTGAGTAAACGATTAAATAATTTTCTTTATTTAGTGAACCACCTCTTTAAGTTGCAATTTTCTATTATCATTTATTTGGGAAAACAATATGGCATTTCCTATTCATTTGGGAAAATAAAATATAGATTTACATCACTTTTGTCATCTTTAATTCCCATGTGGCCCAGAACAAATTATTTTTTCAAATGCAGTGTTTGCAGTCCAAAGTTTATCTGTCTTTTTAAACAATTACGCAAGGTGAGGTCTTTAAGAATGTTACTAACAGAATGTTACTCAGTTAATACACCACTACCAGACAGACAAAACATAATGTTGATTTTTATAACATTCATTATGCTCAGTGTTTGGGCAACAATGGCAGATGATTTATTTTCACCAAATATAAACATCCTTGAAGAACTGGGAAAGATTAAAACCATGGAAACAAAGATGAAATCCCTGGAGAAGGAAATTGAGCGACTAAAAACCGAAAATGCAGGTAATGTGACACCTTGGCACATTTAGGCAAAAATCTTTTGAATGAAAAGTTGCTTATTACAAGTCCTATCATAAAATTCAGGTTTCAATTTTTTTCTTTTAATATTTGCAGCATAATAATCTGTAACATTGTGGACTATTTGAAAGTACATTTTTAAATTTTCACAGTTCATGTGTGTGCTGACAAGTGATTGACTGGTTTATAATTTTAGCACAAGTAAAGAAACTGGAAGACAAACAGATCCACATTGATCAACTACTTCAAAAAAGTGAAGGTATCACTATCATAATGGATTACAGCCACTGACTTTTATATATTTTCGTACATTTAAAAAGAGCCAATCAAAAAGGTAAGGCTTACAACAGAAAGGTTTTACTGATTAACTAATGCATTGTTTATTTCTTGAATTGCTTTAGGGCAAGCAAAAGACTTGAACACATTGCGTTCAACAACAACTGACATAACAATGAAAATGGATAGTTTAATAAAACAAAACGAAGGTACTGTATCTATTTTAGTAATATATTTTCACAAAAGACTTATAAATGGGGTTAATTGTCTTTTATAATTTACAATTGACCCTTAAAAAGATAACTCAAAAATGTAAATTGCACGTGTGATTTACTCAGCCTCGTGCCATATAAGATATGGTGATTTTTTTCTACAGTAGAACATAAAGCAGATTTTTAACTGGAATTTATGAGGTCTTATGAAGCAAATCTATTGTTTTGGTGCAGCAAACTGAACATTGTTTACAACTTTATTACCTTTTTTCAATCTCTGGGCAAATGGTTTTTACACTAAAGTATGCTCTACAAATGTGTAGTCACATTGATACATTCACAGACTGTCTTCTCTCAATGATTGTGTAAAAAATTACCCCTGAACCCTTAGATAATGCATTGTTTGAGAAGAGGTTTAATAAGTAATAAATAGATTGAGTGAGTGCATATTCTGTGCTTCTGAATGGCTGTATTTGCATTTGTATCATGTTTCGTCTGGTGCAAACAGCCAAACAGCTTATCACTGCAAACCTTGTCATGTAACGTGTTACAATGTAACCTGCTCACCTAATGTTTACGTTCGTAATGTTTATATTATTTGCTAATTAATAACCTCATGTGAAACTCAGACACTGCGTCTCATTTTGGAGTCTAAATACTGTCCACCGGAGGTCGCACATCGGTCACAGGCGCATGCTCTGAGAGCCTTTCTGACTAAAGCAACCCAGGGTGCTGAAATATAATTGGCTAAAGTTGCAGTGGGCGGGTTAAAAGCAGGTTAAAAAAACCAAAGCATAGACAGACTTTTCAAAGCAGAATAACTGACTTAAGCTTTGTTTTTCAGATAAACAAGAATGTTCACTTAGCATGTTTCTTAAATATCTGCAAACATATTATGGTATTTTTATGCTTTAAGAGTCAAAAACTTACATACAGCACCTTTAAACTAGTTAGATTAACGTTTTACATTACTTATAGACAGTCAGCTAAGTGTTAAATAATGATCACAGGAACTGACCAAGAAGTAAAAAATTTAATCCACGAATGGTTCATCCCTTCTGGTGCAGGGCACTCAGTGCTTGAATTCACTCCCTCGTTTTCATTCAATTTAGTGGACTAATTTAGGGAATAGTGAATAGGAGTTTAGGGGCCGATTTTGGATACTTTTGTGGGAAACAAACCCAAATGCGTCAGCTCCAGTTTTTTGTGCACACAAATACATCATTGTGTGAGAAGTATCTGATTGTAACTGTTTTATCGTTACCTTTTTTATCATTTAATTCATGGTTTATGTTTTAGTTCCAAAAGTGGCTTTCTCTGTTTCTCTGGCGTCCGTTGTTGGACCACACAGCAGTTTGCATGGCTTGATTTACAAACACATCTTCCTCAATAGCGGAGATGCCTATGATTCAAACACAGGTACAATAAATGACTTCATATGCTGTGAATGTAACCTACTAAAAAAATGAATGATTTGAGTACATTTTCTGTCTGGTTCAGGAATCTTTACAGCACCCATAAAGGGGGTTTATGCGTTCTGGCTCTTCTCCAAGGCCTATGGAAGTCCAGATAAAGCAGTCGTTGCAGGCCTGTTTAAAAATGGACAGCATGAAATTTCAACATACGCACGGCAAAGCGGTGGTTTTGTTGGTTCTTCAAATGGAGTTTCTTTGTTGTTGGAGAAGGGAGATAAAGTTAATGTGAATCTGTATTCTGGACACTGGATTTTTGACAATGAACACCATCACAGCACATTTAGTGGACATCTGCTTTTCCCCATGTGAATAGAAAATACTCACCAGCACCTTTATGTGTATTCAATAATGTTTAATGCTCAATCAGCAGCACTGGTCTGTTTTATGCAGTTTAGACACGAGACTGGATTTACTAGCTAAACCTTAACTTTTTAACCCTCAATTTTTGTTTTCACCATGATGCAATCAGATCCTAAATCCTAAAGCTTTTGTACAACAGTTTGTAATGTCACTCGCATGAGTGTTATCTTAAGATCTGCTTTTGATCTGTTGTGTTTGTACTTGTGTGAATGGAGAACATCTACTTTAACTAAATAAATTGAATTTGTCTATGGTTTACTAATGCTCGGTGAAGCTAGAAAATAAAATTCAGTCCAAAAGACGCATGTTACATGTCATTTGGATTGTTTGTTCTCTACCTGAAACAATTTTTTATTTTTAATTTAGGCATAATTTCCACATACATTTGACTTTTCTCTCCTTTAGCTCAATGCTGTAATGCCATTGTTAAATGTTTCAATGTACATCCCTATTTTGTATGTTTTGTATTGTAAAACAATGTACATTAATTTGAGAGTAGACACTCACTAATGTGAAGAGACAAGGTCTTTTGGGGAAAAAGGTGATCTTCAGTTGATATCTGTAAAATGTAGATTTTTGTAACAGTCATAATGCCCAATAGATGGGTTACAATGGCAGATGATTTGTAAGTTACCAAGAATAAATGAAATTGAAGAATTAGGAAAGATTAAGATCATGGAAACAAGGATGAAATCTGAGGAGAAAGAAACTAAGCGCCTAAAGGGAGAAAATGCTGCTATGTGACACTTAAAGCAAATGTTATAAACTAGATTGATTTCCAAGGCACAGATTTGTAATTTACTGTGCAAAGGTTTTTTATTAACTTAACAGCACTAACAAAAATGCCTCATTAATTTGTGGTCTTCACTGCCCATGTTTGTATTAAATGTGCAAAGAACCTGAAAGATAGAGAGAGCCACATTGATGAACTTATCTAAAATGGAGGTCATTGGTATATATATATATATATATATATACACACACACACACACACACCTGGGCTAGCTAATCAAGCTCTTCTAGAAACATCTTTGCAGGTTTGTTAAGGCAAGTTGAAGCTAAAATCTGCAGGACATCAGCCCTCCAGGACCGAGTTTGGACACCCCTGACCTAATATATAAGGTATTTTTATATAAAATAATTTCTGTATGGGGTGTGTACAGCACTGAGGTTCGATAATAGAATGAACAGTTAGTTCAGCATAAAAATCATTGTTATGGACATTCATTCATTTTCTTTTCTGCTTAGTTCCTTTATTAATCAGGGGTTGCCACAGCGAAATGAACCGCCAACTTATCCAGCATATGTTTTATGCAGTGGATGCCGTTTCAGCTGCAACCCATCACTGGGAAAAACCCAAACACTCTCATTCACACACATACACTACAGACAATTTAGCCTACCCAATTCATCTAAAGCGCATGTCTTTGGACTGTAGGGGAAACCGGAGCACCCATAGAGGAAACCCACGCAAACAGAGAACATTCAAACTCCACACAGAAATGCCAACTGACCCAGGTGAGTCTCAAACCAGCGATCTTCAAGCTGTAAGGCGATCGTGCTAACCACTGCGCCACCGTGATGCCCAGTGTTATGGAAAGTCCCCACAAAACCAAGCATGCATGCGTATTTCAGAAATGCGTGATTAAATGCATTAATGGGGACTAACTTTGTTATACATTTGTCACAAGCACTGCAAATTCACAAAATGGTAACCTCTACAAAACTCTTAAAATGATGAACAAGGCCAGACAGGACACTTTGCACCCAACAGCCTATTTACTGTAAGTTAATAATAATATATTTGTAGTTCAAAGACTCTCTGACTGTAAAAAAAACTGTATTTTTTGTAAAATTATAGCATAATTTCACGGAAAGCAGAAGTCATGAAGCTGGAAATCCTCATATCTACATTTCTGTGTGTGGGGGCCATACAGGCACGCCAGTCTATTGACCTCAGTAATACATGTTTTCAGTTCACCACCTTGCAACAAAGGATACAGGTTCTTGAAGATCAAGTTAAGGAACTACAAAGGAAGAATGAAGGTACTACAGAATTATAGTTTTATTAAAACCTGCTTCAGTTTGTTTAGAATCTTGATGTTGTTCTTTTTGCTTGATAATTTTCTTCTTGTGTGTCTCTTTTCTAATGAATTAATTCATTTATTTATTTATTTAAAGGAAGGGTTGAAAGGGTGAAAGTAGCCTTTTCAGCCTCACTGGCAACTTTTCATGGTGTGAAATATATTGGCCCTTTTGCAAAAGACACCCCTCGTGTATGAAAATGTATTTAGCAACACTGCAATGCATATAACAGCAACACAGGTATCATAAAAATACTAAAAAATAATACAATGCTTTTACAATCTTATGGTCACTTGTCAAGTTTCTGCTGTTCTCAACAGAAATATTTACTGCACCAGCAAAAGGAGTTTATTTCCTCAACCTTGTGCTTTTTACTAATGATGCTGTAGCAGCCGGGGTGAAACTGCTAGGGAATGGTAAACTTGTGATTGCAGTGACCGACAACTCCCCTGCAAGTAACGGAGACACAGAGGACACGTCGAGCAACTCCGTCAGTCTTCTTCTGGAAGAAGGAGACCAGATAAGCCTAAAACTTGCGGAGAACCGTCGTATCTACACAGATGGGCTTAGACGTAACACCTTTAGTGGACACCTTCTTTTTACTATCTAAAGTTGTATGTATTAACTTACATACACTGTGTTAACTGGGCCATTCTACAGATTGATTTTCTTTCTCAGAAAACATTTTGCGTTTTGGATCATTGTCTTGCAGAAATAACCACTCTGGTTTCATCTTCATCATCCTGATAATGTAGATGTTGGAAGAAGCTAATATTAATTTACACTGACGAAGGGCAGAGGGTTGCGGAATAACTACACTGCAAAAAATGCTTTTCTTACTTAGATTGTTTGACTTGTTTCCAGTCTAAATATCTAAACATTCTTAAATCAGGAAGAATTTTCTAGACAAGCAAAACGTGTTGTCTTGTTTTAAGAAATAATATGCCAAAATTAAGTGAGTTTTTCCTTAAAACAAGCAAAATAATCTTATGTCAAAAGAAAAAACAAGATTATTTTGCTTGTTATTTTGCCCTTAAGTTATGAGCGCTTTTTTATCTCAGAATAAAAGATTTGTGTTACATGGTAATACAAGTGACTAATAACAATAACATTCATTTGTCAAACTGCCGTTTTCTTATTATGTCACCTACATCATATATTATATTTAATTAAACGAGAAGATTATTGTATTTTGAATGGAAGAAAAATCCAACACATACACACAACACATTGTGCATATAAATACAAATGACACATACAGGAGCAAAAATAATTCCCAGATATGTAGACCTGGGGAAGTATATTCACAATCAGCCTGGGGTGCAGAAAAATTGCTTTTGAGCTCCAAGCAAAGCACTTTCCTTCTGTAAGCCGACATGTGTTTACTGTGGGGACAAGCAGTTTTGTGGCGACTGGAATTTTACTAAAGTTAAAACAATTATTCCCACGCTGATGAGTTAAGTTGTTCAAATAGCATATTTCTTCATTTTAAAATATAAAGAAATTGTAATCCTAAAGAGTAAGCAAATGAGCTGGAAGCACATTAAATGGACATCTGCTTTTCTCCATGTGAATAAAAAATACTCATCTTTATTGGTCAAAACTGTGTTCAAAGCTCATTCAGTAGGACCGGTTTGGTTTACCAACATTAGATTTACTGACTGAAAGTAAACCTTTGAGGTAAAACTCCCAGTTTTTTCCCACCATGATGCAATCAGATCCTAAATCTTTAGTAAAACAGTATTGTCACTCATATGAGTGTTATCTCAAGATCTGTGCTTTATTCTGTTTTGACCAATTAAACATAATTTGACTATATACTGTATGGTTTACTAATGCTCTGTGAATCTAGAAAACATAATGTCCAAAAGTTGCATGCTACATGTCATTTGGTTTGTTTGTTCTCTACCTGAAACATTATGCCTGTATTTAGCTAGTTAAGACTTTTGACATTTTTCATTTCAGATTTAAGCAGATTTTTCTCCACATACATTTGACTTTTCTCACGTTTAGCTCGCTCAGTACTGTAGTGCAGTTTTTAGATGTTGAAAATACATCCCTATTTGTATCCCATGTATTGTGATAAATATATACTTTAAAGGTGATCTCTATCCTGATATTTGTTTTTCTCACAATGAACACCTTCAGTTAATATCTGCCCATGTAAACAAAAAAAATGTACAAGGTTTACTCTCCAGCATCTTTTTATATCAAGAGACTGAAATCAAAAAACATAATCCCCTTTCTGTTATGGTCTCCACCGGTATTAAGAAATGCTTTGCTTATAATTTGTATTATTCTCAACGCTGTCTGATAAATTAACTTAAAATAATTTAAATAAAATGATCCATGAGACACCTGTATACTGTATGTTCTTCTATAAAGCTTTTGCAAATCAAGCAAACTTCTGTATAAATACTTTTCATTTGTTTTAGGAAAAAGCTTTTTTTATGTAACAAGGCTCTATGTAGATTGTGCTCTAGAGTCGCTGATCTAAATACAACTTTAGCTTTATCATAGACAAACAATAATAAGAAAAACAATACAGAGGGAAATGACACGGTTATTTCTTATTTTGGATTAAATCTTTAAAATAAATATTGCTTCAAAATGTACTTTTTATAGTCTAAAGTCTACCAGTCAATGTAAACAATTACGCAAGGTGTTGTTCTGCCTTTAAGACTATAAAAGAGAATTCAGCACACAGCTTTACTGCAGTATCTAACAGCATAAAAATGTTGATTCTTATAACAGTTGTACTACTCAATGTGTGGGCTATTCCGGCAGAAAATGTACTCACTCCAAACATAAACATCCTTGAAGAAATAAACAAGATAGTGGATTTGGAAAAAAGGATCAAATCAATGGAGACAGAAATGGAGCGACTAAAAACAGAGAAGGAAGGTATGTTACGATACAACATCCTTTACATGACACAATCTGTATATTATACAAACTACACAGATTTTGCTTATATATTTATTTAAACGCCACACTTCATTACTGAAACATTATAACTTTAATACTATAGAGTTCAATTAGCTGCATACTATGAAATCACTGATATCCACTAGGTTACAAATGTTAAATTGATAGTTCACACAAAACTGAAAATTCAGTGATCATTTACTCACGCTTTACTTGATCCAAACCTTTCTTTCTTTCTTTTTCTTTCTTTCCTTCCTTCCTTCCTTCCTTCCTTCCTTCCTTCCGTTGAATACAAAAAATGATATTTTGAAGAAAGCTAAAAACCTGTAACCATTGATGTCCATAGCATTTGTTTTTCCTAGTCAATGGATTCAGGTTTTCAGTGTTCCTAAAACTATCTTTTGTTTTGTCTAATAAAAAAAAGATTTGGAACCAGTTGAGGATGAGTAAACAGTGAGTGAACAGTGATCTCTTTAAGCTATCTATCTCTTTAGCTGCATTTAGCTGCTCTTTAGTGCTGAAAACACACATCACATGACCGCACACACACACTTTGTCATGCACTGCAGCGTATGCTATGTTGTTTGTCAAACAACAAAAATTAAGGTCAAGAATCTTGATGTGACTCTGGAATCAGATCCGAGTTTCAGTATTCATGTGAAAGCAGTAACTAAACCAGCATGTTATTAACTCAAACACATTGCAAGAATTAGATGCTTTGTTTCCACTAAGGACTTGGAGAAATTGGTTTATGCTTTTATCAGCAGCAGGGTGGATTACTGTAATGGACTCCTCACAGGCCTTACCAAAATAGACAGTTAGACATACAGCTCACCCAAAACGCTGCAGCCAGGATTTTAACATGAACCAGAAAATCAGAACACATCATACCTGTCCTCAGGTCTTTAAACTGGCTCCCAGTTACATTGAGAATAGATTTTATTCTCGAGATCTACCCGAGCTCAAACTCACCTCTCGCCCTGCAACGGGAGGGAGCCCCAGGCTCGAGGCTCTCATGAGTTCGTGGCTCTCTCCCGGGACAGCATGCCAAACTAGCTTATTACTAATCATCAGCTAAGTGTGAACTCTTGAATTTGTTTTTGCTACTTGTTTCTTATTCTTGTTTGTGTAAAGCACTTTGAATTACTAATGTGTATTAAATGTGCTATTTGAATAAACTGGTCTTGCCTAGAATTGAAGTAATGTAAAATGAATGTAAAGAGACTTCTTTGAGAAACTTTTGAAAACCTCTCACTGACTCTAATCTTTTTTTTGTTTTTAAGTTCCTAAAGTTGCTTTCTCAGCCTCTCTGTTGACTACTTTTGGACCACAAAGCGTCGGACCTTTTCATAACGGGTTACACACACTCATTTACAAACACGTCTTCCTCAATTTTGGAAGTAACTATGATCCAAACACAGGTAAATTAAAACTTATATTCCTCTGTAATTTTTTTATGAAACTTGCATTTAATTATCATTAATCATTTTACCCTTTGTTGGATACAGGAATTTTTACAGCACCTGTAAAGGGAGTCTATGTGTTCACGGTTTTCTCAAAGGCTATTGGAAATCACGAGAGAGCCGTTACCGCTGGCCTGTTTAAAAATGACCAGCATATTGTTTCTACACATGGACATCAAGCAGATGGTTTCATCAGCTCTTCAAATGGAGTCTCTCTGCTGCTAGATGAAGGGGATAAAATGAAAGTCAATCTCTATCCTGGACAATGGATTTTTGACAATGGAGAACACCATCACAGCACGTTCAGTGGACATCTGCTTTTTGCCATGTGATCTTGCAGAGGTTTTTATTCACCACAAAATCTCTAATACATAAAGCATGTGTAATTCTCAAAAAAGATGAACTGTTATTATATTCATATAATAAAATCAACGCAAATATTCTTCATATCTTGGCTTAGTTTAAGGCAATAGTGTCTTTAGTGCAGAACGTTATATTAATGTCAATTTAAAAGACTAGTTCACTTCCATGATGATTGGTTACCATTGACTTCCATAGGCATTTCTCCTTCTGCAAGACAATGGTGATCCTCAACTGTTCAGCTATTTATTTTTTCAGTGTTCAACAAAAGAAAGAAACTCATACAGGTTTGGAACTAGTAGAGGATGATTTAATGACAGAATTTTCACCCTGAATGTGAACTGATCCTTTTAATAAAAATGAGAATGCCTCTTTAAATTACAACTAATAAAACAGACTGTGAGTGAGTACGGACTTTGAGAAAATCAGCCTTTCCAGGACAGAAAGTACAGCTGACCCTGTGTATCGCCACAAACAAACTCCCTGGGGTCGTGTGGATTAACCTCCAGCACCCTGACAGGAGCTCCACACACAAACATGCCAACCTGTAAAACATAGAGAAGGTGGGAAACAAACAGTGAGGAAATGGAATATAGACTCGTATATGCGCTTTGAGTAACAGCAAGATCAAAAATACCTGTTTCTTAGAACGTCTGTCCCACAGTTTGACGGTTCTGTCATGAGATGCTGAGATGATGAGGGTCTCTGTTAGCCGCAGTACACTCACTTTATCTGTGTGCGCCTAGGGACCAATCAACAACCACAAAGTCAGCAACTTACATGACATTTGATTATTGTTATTATGATTATTATATCTACGAGGAAAGCGAATGAAAACTTGCCGGCCTTCTCTGAGTCCAGGTAGTCATATTTGGAGATTGATTGAACCATATGTTTCCTTTAAAATCCCCGCACACAAAGAAGTCTGAAGGAAAAAAAGATATAGATAATTCAAAAACTACCAAATCTCACTTTGTAAAGGATTCACACGATGACCACTAGAGGTCTATCCGCTTGTTAAGTGTGACATCACGCAAAGTGGCTTCAGGGTCCAAGCGCCATACCAAACTGTATGGGCAGGCTCATCATATGGTAATAATAAACGTTTACAAAGTGCTGTAATGCTTTGAAAATCACGATTGCATTATACATATACATGCCAGGAAGTGATTAATTTTTTATAAGTTGTTAAAATATTGGTGTCTGTGATGCAGCAAGTCCAGAGACTGTTGTGCACACCATGATTTTATATAAAATAGACTTTAATGTATGATATGACTAAAGAGTGGTCATAAACAAATATTTTCTCAATTCAAATGAGTAGCTAAGAACTGGAAGTACCTGGAAACAGTATTTTATACATGACAGCTTAACAAGTGGATAGGTTGATGTTTAGTCTTAACATCTGATAGCATTGAATGGGTTATATGACTATATTTTAAACTTCCTTTTGTGCATAACGCACTGCTTACAAATAATTGAAAAAGTCAACTCCTATTTGTTTAAACTGCAGGTACAGTTTCTGAACTGCCTCAAATGTCTCAGTTATAATACAAGAACAGGTCGTATCATCTTAAAGCTGAAGAAAAGTCACAATGTCCAAGATATGCTTTACACAAATTTAATACACCAAAACACATGGGATTTCCTTATTTTGGCACCAAGTGAGTCTATGTTTAACTTTCCAGGCTTCATGAACAAGTGCCAGTACATGCATGTGCATAAAACAGATGGAATGCATAAGAATGAGAGCACCATCATTCTGACTAAATAATTTTGCTGACATCTTTTGCATCTAAAAGCATAATCTGCCATAACTCTGCCAGTTGGAGCATAATTAACAAACATATTTCAAGACAGATCAAGACAAGTCTATCAATAATTTGATCAAAATTGTCCTAAAGCAAGAATATCTGTTGCTAAATAGTAACTTTGATGAAAGATTTTAATCCTTGTAGTTTGTTTAGTAAACCATTATTTAAAGAAAATATTTATCCTGCTGTACTGTAAACATACTAAACAAGTACTTTAAATCCGCTAAAGAAGCTTGGCCTATTATATAAGTTATCGACTTCCCAATATAAAGAGTTTCCATATTGGTGCATCCCAAGTAGTGACCAAATTAGAATGACTCACCTTTTAAAACTAAATTAAGCTTTAAATAAGGTTTCTAGCAAAAATTCAGTTATCGCAACAAGTGGCTGTTAAAATGTGTCATTGAATTGTTCATTCAAAGATTCATTAAAAAACCCTGATTACTTCAATGGCCTAGAAACAAGTAAAGAATCCAAAGAAAGTCACTGAGGCCCCGTTAACACTAATACGTTTTAGTTTAAAAACTGCGATTTAGAATGAAAATGATCCACGTCCCAACACTGGCGTTTCACCTAGAGTTTCTGAAAAGATCTATACTATATATCTATATCTATCCACACTATATCACTGAAAACGCACATCACGTGACCACACACACACTTTGTCATGCACTGCAGCGTATGCCCAGGCAGTTAGTGGGTGCTTTAAGCACATCTTCCCAGGTGAGAGCAGCACATGATGAACAGTTCATTAAGGATATACCGCTGGATCTCATCTCACTATAGCTCTTAAATGTGATGTTTAATTCATTTGGTCTCTACTTAAACTTTTTGGTCTTTTGAATCTCTTACTTGATCTCAGTTAACGTGTTTTGGCTGAGCGCAAAGATAAGTTCATATATTAATTTATTAATTACTAATTAACGTAATCACTTACACTGATTCTGCACATTTGACTGATTGCTTGCCTTTATTTCCTATAATGTATAAACTTATTGTACATTGTACTTTTTTATAATGGCCATTATTGATTATTAAAACTAATATTCCACAAATATAGACAGGGTATGTTTCGTATTTTTCAATGAAAATGAAAGAAGGCAGTAATGTTATAGGCTCTGTTTTGTTATAAATTTGCATACAGTGAAGATGACGCTCATATAAATATGTAGCTACAAGATGCCTTAACTTTTTTGGTGTCTGTTAAGTTGTTATTATTAAAATAAAAATAGGCAGTTCTTTATATCATGTTTTCATTTCATTGTTAAAATAGAAAGTCTGCAGCATGATGTGAATGAGGGTATAAAGTAGCCTAAACTGTTCCCTTTGAAAATTTACCTGAAGTGTCCTCGAGAGTTTGTTTTACATATCAAACTTGGAAAGTTTAAATTTACAAGGAAAGCCTGAACGCAAGTCTGAACTTTGTGTCCTTAATCAGCCTCTTCAGCATTTCCAAAACCCTTCGTTTTTAGGTCTGGAAAACTCTAGGGTAGTGTGGATGGAAGGCATAACCGTAGCAAAACTTATGCATTTAAAAACGTAATAAGTAAAACGTATTAGTGTAAACAGGGTGTAAATCTTTCACTCAAGCTGAGGTAAAAATATATAAATAAAAGTTTCCCATAATATTTTACGCAAGTTATCCAGGTTCATGTGGCTCTACTCTTTTCATATATTGCAGGCCTGAAGGAATGCTGAAAGTAAGATTTTTAATGCAGTATATGAGTGTAAGAGCTGGTGTACCATTCTGCACTGCTGCAGCTGTGATCCAGAAGCTGATCTGCGCTGCCCTCTGTTTTTCAATTCGATTCTCCCTCCGCTGCTTAATCTCATCCTCACTCAATTTCTCCTTCTGCTGTTTCTCTTCTTGTTGCTCTTCCTCCTCCTGTTGTTTCTCTTCCTCCTCCTGCTTTTTCTCTTCCTGTTGCTCTTCCTCCTCTTCCTGCTGTTGCTCCTCATCCTCCTGCTGCTTTTGTCCTACCTGTTGGTCATCCTCCTCTTCCTCCTCCTCCTCCTGTTGCTTTTCCTCCTCTTGTTGCTCCTCCTCCTGTTCATCTACTTCTAAGTCTTCCAGTTTTCTACCCACCGCATCTTCACAAACATTCAGGCTATAAGAGCTGCTTGGACCCATTGAAAGCTGAAAAACAGGCAGTTTGAGATCATTACGATTGTTAAAGGAAACGCTAACACAAATATGCAAAATTACACTTAAAAAAAATGTCATTAGATGAATATTTAAAAATTTAGATGTGTTTGTTTTATCTACCAGCTCAGAAAATTTGAAAACGAAAACATGAAGCCGTGGCTTATGTGCAATCTTTTGACCTGACTGAATTTCATGCAGGTTGTGACAAAGCTAGGTAGTTCTTTCAAATGTACCTTCCAAGCAAAATATGAGCTCTGACATCTTTCCACCCATTTTTGACAGCAAGTTAAAGATGTGCCTTTCATTTTTGTACATTTGAACAACAAAGTGATCCCGCATGCGGCCTGCTTTGTATTTGGATGTAGAGGCTCATACAGTAGGTGCCCTGAAGCTTTGGAAGAGACAAAAGCGAAATTACTTATGTCCCAGAAAGAGTGGGCAAAAACTTGTTTGTTTTTTTGATATTTTTAGTATAATGATAAAACTACTTCAGATATGCCATCATATCAATCATGGGCTTGGCTAAGCACTGTGTGTGTGGTGTGCTGTTTTGATACCCCAATAATGGATCAGTACCAGCCATTTGTGATATAGCTTCAGAGAGGGGCAGTGTAAGCAGCAGATTGTCATAGACATGCACTCTGAACTGTTAACTGAGTTGTTTTTGACAGGGTAAAAATTATTTATTGCACTACCATTGAGAAATCATAAGCAAAGGAAGTTATAGACTTTCTGGCTTGTGAATGAATCATTTCTTTAAACTAGTGCATTTTTGACAACCAAATTAACTGGTTCACCAAGTCAGACTGCATCCTTTGAAACTGTTTGCAGCTACAGAGATACCCACATGTCAATCTAACTCCACATGAGCCAATATATTGGTGTAAAATTAATGATCTACGATGCCAGACTTGCCCTCTCATTTAGTGCTTCAGTTACTCCACCAGTAACTGAACTGCAGAAATAGTTCTTGGGTCACATTAGTGAACAAGCACTTCAGAGAAGACGCAAATAAACCACATGTATTACATTAAATTTGCATTATATTATATGTTTTTTAACTCTCATTATTTGTAGCCTTTGACTTGTATTATATAAATTATCATGGACCGTGATTTCTATAGATGCACTGAT